ACTTCAATTGTGCAATTGTTTCTTTATGGAACTCTGCAGTTTATTTATTTTGAAAAAGCGAATCGCGACAAAGTTCGCCATCCAATTTGTCATCAAAGTTGGCTAGCGCCATTTTGACCAAGTGGCGCCAACCGGACACGAAACTTTAGTCTTAACTGCAACTCGATTATTGGCGAATATCCGGCCAAGTTATGACTCTGAAATTTTAAGCGGCTTTGGCGGTTCCTTTGACGGCTTACGCGGACTTTGAGTTACTTGTTGACACGCCGCGTATACGCGATTTTTAATTAACCCATCGACGGCGCCGAGGGGCTTTTATCCTGACCGGAATCGGTGAACCGCAGAAATCCGGGAGCTGACCGCACTGACTGTCTGAAGGCTCGCGTACGACTGAGCCACAGGACTCAGCAGCTGGTGTTTTTATCAATGAAAATTGTTGCTTGTCGGCGGCATCCTTCGCCAGGATAATAAGAGAAATGCGGAGCCTGCGCGAAAGAGAAAGTGCGTTGGAACTTTGCTCTTAAATGGCAAGCCACATCCTGGCCCATGTTTGCCAAGGCTTTTTACATTTCATTATTGCCACTTGTGGACTGCTCTTGAACTCGGCAGACGAAAGCGGTTGATATACGGGCTTGTATCTTGTATCTTTGTATCTGCTAAATGGCCAGTCATTGGTCGGCCAGTAGGCATTCATTCACGAGCCATTACAACTTATTAAAAACACGGCCTTTCTAGTCCATTGAGGTTTCAGGTGTGCGTGCCAGAAAAGCCACAACCCGTTGGGGGGAAAACCTATTTCAATGTGTGAAGGCTTTGCGGGATCTCATTTAAATTTGTGTCTGAACTGGATTTATGTGGATAGTTTGGCGAAGAATCAACTCCACAGATCATTAGTAGTTAAATTTAGCGTTTAATTAAAACTTAATCAACTCCTGGGGACACATTAAAAGCAAATTACCCTGCCCTGGAACCTTTCTATATTACATATTTGTTTCACATAAAAATATTTATGCGGTCGACTGCAGCACGAAAATGAAAATAGTTGGCTTCGAACGGCGATGACAAACTGCCAACATTTTTCTGGCTTGGCATATCGGGTGCACCACTTTCCAGAGCCGCAAATTGAGCAAAGCCAGCCGCAGTTCGTCGGCAGTTGCACTTTAATTAAAAATAAATACGGATAAAGGCCGCAGCTCTAGCCCCAGCCCCTGCCTCTGCCCTTTGACAAATGCCAACCAGTCTAATTCTAATGATTATTGATGTGGCTGCTGATGATGGTTGATTCTGTGTTTACTGCCGGCTTGGATTTGTTCACAGCTCTACATCATTATATAGCAGATCTATATGTACTGCTCTGACCTGTCCAACAATGATTGCGATTCTCATAGTCTGGAGTACGACAGACCTGGCCACAATTACGTCTAATGCTCCGGGGTTGCCTTTGCCCGTTGAAACTCTTTACATTTGTGCCGATTATACTTTTATTTGTGTTTTGCTTCTCGGTTTTGCTAAATTTGGGTTATCTCCTCCCCTCTGGCAGTGCTCTCGGTTGAACTTGGCCAAAGTCAGGGCTTGTAATCAGTGTCAACAAGTTCTGCAAGTTGACTTTTAGACACACTTTCAGGCAGAAGCACTTGGACTGTTGAGTCTTCAGTCAAAGCCAATTTAAGCCTTTGTTTCAGCTTGAAGTGGGTAAAGGTTTATTTCTAACTCTACTAGCATCAAAATATCCATTTTTAGGGTATAATAAACCATCATAGCCATCAGTTTGTGCCATCTTCTCGGCTTAGATATTAAAAGTTGTGCTTTGTGGCACTAAATTATACAACATTTTACGCATTCGTCGTGTATTTTTGTTTTCATTTTTTGAACTCAAAGCAAGAAAAAAGCACTTACTCTCTCTGATTCGGATTCTGATTCTGATACTGTCTCTGGGCTCTGGGTTGGGGCTTTATACGTATACGTATATGTATGTACTTTTGGTTCCGTCGGCCTTTTCCTTCCCCCTGGCAACCTGGTAACCCGACAACCTGGCAGAGTAATTAGTGACTTGTACAAAAAATAAGAATACAAAAAGAGTCTATTATAAATGGGGGCGTGAGCGTAAGTGTTCTCGGCTCAACTTTTCCAGATTGCGGACTTTGTGCTCGCGGAACCAGACATTTATGTTCCCGCTTGACATATCATGGAGGTCGTTTTAATATTCGCTTTCGGGCCAAGTCGCAGGTAGCCTAAAAAGTTTACCCGGACTACAATGCAAATGCTTAACAGCTTGGGGGGAAAAATTTCCATTGCCAAATCCGAACTCTGGCTGATGAGTCACATGTATTTTGGCCAAGTGCGTAGCTATGGTTTTCAGTTTTTAGAAATCGATTTGACTCCGACAAACGTCAATAACAATCCCTAGCTGTCATTATCATAATTTAATAAGTTGTAGGGCCAGCTTGATTATAATTAATAGTTCCGTTTGAACTGGCACTGCGTTAATCTGTTTGATGGTTTTAATTGAATGAATTTTATTCATCGGCCCGAAAGGTTTCCGATGCCCAGGGAAATGGTTACGCAGTGCAAAACACACAATGCGATTAGCATGCAATAGTAATGGCATTAAATATGCAATATACTCGCAAACAGTACAATTCCAGTACAGAGACCTGCGATTTGCGGCTGCGACATGTGATGTAAAGATAAACACCGAAGCAATCAGACTAAGTACCGCCCAGATACAAATATCGCCCCAGAGAGATAAGCCCTTCAGCCTGTCCTCATATGTAGTCCATGCAGCCTATAGCTGGAAGCCACAAAATTAACAATACCACTTGGTGTGGCTGTCGATGATCGTGTGGGGCGATTTGTGGTTTTGTAACCCCCGTCCACTATAGTCCCACTCCAAGTCACTCAAAGATGTTTGAGTGTGTCTTGAAAAGACACTCGGAACCGAAGCAATTCGACTTTCGCGTCTCGACCGAGGGTCTTTCCCCAACATGGATTACGCGGTTTTATTATATCTTCATCGGAGTTACTCATCATCGTTTCCAGCACGCAGGTTAGCCATTAGTCATTCCCCACAAAGACTATGCTCTCTGAGTTCACGATCCGGGCATACCCTCTGATACCTAACAGGCATTATCTAAAATCAGTGACCAAACTAACGGAAAACTTTAAAAGTTTTGTGCCTAAGATAGTACTAGAGGTTCCCCTTATCTATGTGAAAATATAATCAATGTAATAGTTATATTTCTAATTTGGTGGGTAATAGAGCACTTAGGTCGATAAATTTTCTATTCAAAACTAGTTTTAAAACTTTCCATAATTACTATTCGTTCTGGCGTTGAAGTCTTCGAGCAATTAAAACTAAACGAAGGATAACCCAAAGTCATGAAGCCCAGTCTTAAAATAAATATAATAGGTAAACAATAAAAAGTGTTCCATTAGGAGAACTCGAGTGGAAAGGGCTTGGGGCTCTGAGTGGAATTTTATAACGCGTATTCCAAGAATTCCACTTCTTGGAACCCAAATTAAACTCAAGACTAGGTTGGAGCAACCCGAAATGGTTAACCTTTTTACTGTCATGGCATTTCTGGCTTTAAATTGATTTCGTGGGTCTGGGCGCTTCTTTCGGCAGCCCCTTGCCTCCCTTCCCTGTCGTTTAACAATTGGCAACCCACCAACAACAAAGCCACTGGGAAGTGATATAAGTGGCGGGGTCTCAGTGGCTCTAACCGCAGTTGTGTGACCGCGTTCGGCGGGTGAGCACGGAGTGAAAAATAACATTAAAAAGCCACTGGGCAGTGAGACATCAAACGGCCAGAAAGCCGCAAGAATTGTGCAGTGCCCCGAGTAGTTATAGCCTGATAAGGCACTTTGTTGTCTAGTGTCCCCCATAAAAATCAAAACAATGTGGAGTTATCACTCGCTGGCGATTTACACCGCCTCGATCTTGATTTGTGGTGAGATACAGCCCTAATTTAATCAAACATGTGACGAAAGTGCGTTTGCCTTGCAATTAAAAACCCTATTGACGGCGGCAGGCATTTTTATAATCAAGTATCGCAAATATTTGAACAGTGAACAGAGCAATGAAAATATACACTCTGCCTTGAATAAGCCGTATAAAACGTTTATAGCATCGTGGCTATAACTTCCATAATGGTTTATTTCAAGACCTATTTAAAAATCTTCCAAGTATACTATCTTGCTTGTAAATTTAAAAAAAAATCAGGAAATGATAGTTGTATTATTTGGATGATGTCTAAAACATGCCAGCGATAGGTCTTTTGATTATTTATAGCCAGTTACGAACCGGTCACCTGATTGATCTTCAACCTGCCCACCGTCATTCTGGGTTTCTTGATTAGTATTCGTCACCAGTGTCTGCGGTGATCACTGTCAGTGGTCATTCATTCGGCACATGATTCCTTTACAAAAAACGGGAGGTTTTTGCCAAGTCTTTTCAATTATCCCAATCAATTTAATCCGACTAATGACCGTGTGAGCAATCGTGGGAAGTCCAATGCTAAGCATTCGTTAATGAAAATTAAACCACAATTTAACCAAATTTTCCATAAATAAAAAACTGTTAATTGGTGGTTCAAAAATTCCATTTTTTGTGGGGTAATAGGCATGTGAATGGAGACAGCTGCACCCTTTTTTTCAAGGGTCGCATATTGCACAGTGGCTTTCGTTGAGAGCCATAAACTTTACATGGATAATTGCCGTCAGATCTGTGCTAATTAAATGAGCAATTACCAGTCTGTAGTGCCCCGCCGACTGAACCGATTCCCAGTGACGACAGACGGCATCGCATTAATAAAAGTGCAAAATTTGTACGACACACATTTGGCGTATTTATAGCTTTCGCCGCCGCCGAAAATAGTTGATGGCTTGATTGATTATCGCCGATTCGACCCACCCACTCCTGGCTGTCACATAATGTCACCGATTCCCCTATATTACCGATTAATTAGCACCTGCGGCAAACTTGATTAACCGTCTGTGTTTGACTTTCCAGCTACCGTCGGTGTCTGGAGCCAAGACTTTGGCTACGAGGGTAGACATGGTCCGGAGCACTGGGGCGAGGAGTACGCTCGCTGCAGTGGCAAGCACCAGAGCCCCATCAACATCGACCTGGTAAACGCCGTGGAAAAGCGCTTTCCCAAGCTGGAGTTCTTCAACTTCCACGTGGAGCCCAAGGGCATTCACATGTCCAATAACGGGCACACGGTGCTGGTAAAGATGACCTTCGACGAGGACAGGATGCCGACGGTGCGCGGAGGTCCTTTGGCCGAGAGGTCTCCCCTGGGCTACCAGTTCGAGCAGTTCCACTTCCACTGGGGCGAGAACGATACGATTGGCAGTGAGGATCTGATCGACAACCACGCCTATCCGGCCGAGATGCATGTGGTCCTGAGGAACCTGGAGTATCCGGACTTTGCCAGTGCCCTCGACAAGGATCATGGCATTGCCGTCATGGCCTTCTTCTTTCAGGTGAGCTAAGCCCGACTAAATATTCCGAAAACAAACTAATGATTAACTGTCGAACTCCAGGTTAGCCCCACCTCGTCGGATGGGTATGAGAAATTCACAGACCTTCTGCCCCAGATAGATAGAAAGGGAAAGTCTGTGAATATGAGCAATCCGCTTCCCTTGAAGGAATATGTTTCCAAGAGCATGGAGAGCTACTTCAGCTACACAGGCTCCCTGACTACACCTCCGTGCAGCGAGGAGGTCACCTGGATAGACTTTACCTCTCCCATAGATATTACTGAGAAGGAGGTGAGTTAGGAATTGATTTATGTAAACATATTTTTGTGGATAACTTGTGGATATTTCTTTCAGCTGAATGCCTTCCGCCTGCTCACCGCCAACGATGATCACTTGAAGAACAACTTCCGTCCCATTCAACCGCTGAACGATCGTATTTTATACAAAAATCACATAGAGGTCCCGAAAAATAAAATGGGCTCGATTCCCTTTGTAAATGCAGAGAACTCTGCTGCCAGCTGGAGGTCCTGGCAATCCCTCACCCTCATCCTGGTGCCCTGTTTCGGCCTCGTAACCTTGCTAAGCGCCTCCGCTGTTAGCGCTTTTTAATTAGAGTTTTGTGGCCGGAAATCGAAGGTCAATTGTTAAGTGCCTAGCATGTGCTTAGCCGTCTAATTAAGCGCCGCAATTTACATGTCCTCCTCTTGTTCGCCTGCACTGTTTGTTGTTCAAACAGGACGACCCCTAATGCCCCTGGTCGGGCGCACATATATCAACTGGGAAAAGCAAACAAGCAAACAGGTCGGTGGATTGCTGAAACCAAATTAACGAAGCTCAGCTGGCACGATACCCTAACTCATAAATTATGCAGCACCTCTCGCCGAGACTGTCAAGTGCATTGTATCCGTTTGGAGGAAGTCCTATGGCTAGTAGGACTCTACCTGGTTTTGCACAATGTGATTTTAAATGCTTGGCTCAAGCAATACAGTTTTCTTGTACTTTTAACTTTAGTCTTTGTAGCACTAAATTATTGTTAATTAATAAAGATTTTATTATATTTTAAATTTGTTTTCACGCTTTTCAAATTGATTATTTTAAATAGGAAGTTATCTCAATATTATCTAGGATTCAATATAGGTCAATGCCCTGAGTGATTATTGATTATAGAGCTCCTTAATACCTACATATTTAAAAATCGAAACCTATAAATTTTGTTTATTTCAAGTCATAACTTAAAGGCTATCTTAAATTCGTAAGTGTGTTTCTAACAAAAACAAACATCTAACTGTGGGAAGTGAGAAAACTTAGCACTTCTATAGCTTAGCGGCTTTGAAAGCAGTTGTGAGCCAGCGTTCGGCGGAGAAACACGGAAAATAGTTAAAAACTTAGACTCCGGAATCCGTAAAATTAGCCATAAACTCTTCCTTTAAGCCACCTCGTAAGAAGCGATACAGAAACGAATTCTAAAGAAGACAATGTCCTGCTTGCGAACTGCTAATGGTTTTAAGAAGTTTGTTAGTGCCTCCTTTGTGATTTTTGGTGAGCTTGTATATAAAATAGCCAAATAATTGCGTAATTGTATAGCTAAAAAAATTGTATAATAGAAACTGTATACGAATTTATAATAATTTCATACAACGATAAAAAAAAGTTTTGACAAATCAAATAAATATTATAACTATAATCATTACCTTTATTCACAAATTCAAATTAAATACTATTAGTTTTATCATTCTGATCCGAATCACTTACCATTCCGCTAATTTAAATTCCTTCAAAATTGACTGAAATTTTCTCTAAAATCGTGAAACTGTTAATGATAAATAATTCGGTGATGCGATGTGCTAATTTTGTGAGAATTTTTTGCTGTCGTCAAATTATATCGTCAGTTTGTTTAAACGCAGACACTGAACAAAAATTAAGGGACCTTGTGGAGAAAAAGTGGACAAGGCATTTCTTTTTATCAGACACCGGCATTCATTACTAAGCCAAATTTATGGGGAAACATTTCCGAGGAACTACGAAAAGCTGCTAATTGGTTGGATACTTACTATACTTGTGTCAGGCAACTTCAATCTAATTATAATACTAACGATAACAAATAAATCATTAATAAAAAGCGTAAACGACCTATTTATAACTTACTATGACGAAAAATGTCACACAGTTATATCTTCTGAGAGTTTTATTAATAGTCTTCTATTTTTACCAAATTAAAGCACTGTCAGAAGCCGTTCGGGCCCAGGACTTTGGCTATGAAGGCAGATCCGGACCCGCGCACTGGGGCGAGGAGTACGCCCGCTGCACTGGCAAGCACCAAAGTCCCATCAACATAAACCACGTGAGTGTCAAGCAGTATAGCTTTCCAAAGCTGGAGTTCCACAACTTTAATGTGGAGCCCAAGAGCATGTTGGTGACCAACAACGGACACACGGTGCTGGTCAAAATGAGCTTTAATAAGGGCAAGGCTCCCAGGGTTAAGGGTGGCCCTTTGGCCGAGAAGTCCTCTGTGGGCTACCAGTTCGAGCAGTTCCACTTCCACTGGGGCGAGAACGATACGATCGGCAGTGAGGACATGATCGACAATCATGCCTATCCCGCAGAGCTGCACGTGGTCCTGAGGAATCTGGAGTATCCTAGCTTTGCCAGTGCCCTGGGCAAGGACCATGGCATTGCCGTGATGGCCTTCTTCTTTCAGGTGGGTCTCTTGAGAGGATTAAATGATTTTTTTTTTATACAAGAATCGAATTTCCAGATCAGTAGCTCCTCAACTGGAGGTTACACCAATTTCACCAGTATGTTGCCTCAAATCGAAAGAAAGGGTCAATCGGTGAACATGACCAAGACATTTCCATTACGCCAATATCTCTCCAAGGACTTGGGCAGCTACTACACCTACACAGGATCCTTAACCACTCCTCCTTGCAGTGAAGAGGTGATTTGGATGGATTTTCGGACTCCCATTGACATTACCGAAAAGCAGGTGAATTATTTCCCTTTTTTTATATAACTATTCGATTTTCTAGAAGATTTTCTTTTAGCTGAATGCTTTCCGCCTGCTGACAGCCCACGATGACCACCTGAAGAATAATTTCAGACCCACACAACCTTTGAATGATAGGCCCGTTTACAGTATTCGGCAAGAATCTCCACTGTTTGTGGACTCATCCGCTGGAGGGAGTAGGCACCATTTCAAAACCCTTTTTCTGGTGACTCTCCTTGCAGTTCTACTCTCAGCTGCTAATTTAAACGGTGCTTAGTTTAAACCTTAAAGCTAAAAAGGTATTAAAAAACAAACATATTAATTTGAAATACGTGCCGGCATTTGACAGTCGGAAAATTAAAATGTTAAATGCTTAAAACCCTGAAACTTTTTTAATGGCTTTCAAAGTATTTATTGACGCTTTAAAATAAATACCCGATAAAAATATGGATTTTATACACAAACTGTTTCTCCTAGCAAAACCATTGAAAAAGAATAAATTCCATTTAAGGCACGCAAACTATATGAATTTAAGCCACAAAAAGGAGTTTAAATCAAACAATTAAATCTGAAAGATAAATATGGCTAAAGCCAAGCGGAATCAATCAATTTTATTAATTGTTGACGATATTTATATTTTTATATACGAAACTTTATAAGTTCTGTCAGTAATTAAACATAAATTAAAGCATACTTTCGGGCAATTTTCACAAAAAAAGACTCGTATTCATGAAAAATTTAGGAGAAATGCTTTCCCAGAATATCAGCTTCCAAAAGATCCTAGTCAGGCAGGTTGGAGTACTTTTGATGACCTCCTGACCTCTTGCTGTCAGCGAGGCTTGGTGAATTATGACAAACATGTGCACAAATCTATCAGCGAAATATCAACTTTTTGAAACAATCCGAAGAGTTCGTCTGGCGAAAGTCGAGCTCGCAAATGTGATTTATTGATAATCACTTTTGCCCCTTAGTAAACACGGGGGACCCCCCCTAAAATGCACTTTATTTCCTACCCAGTAATCAGTGCCAATTTCGTCAGTCGTAGGCAGGTTCCACTGTAAGTGGAAAACGGATTGATCATCGTTGTTTGTCTTATTGCGTCTGGCGACTTGTCCTTGCGACCTTTCGACTTTTACGTTTGACCTCTTGGTTAATTATAGAATGAATTGTGGCATTTTCTAATTAGCTTATCAATGGTTGTTTATTAATGCGATGGATCTGCTTGATATGGAGTGGCCTAGAACCCACTGGCTAAGATGCGAAAAACAATCTGAAAGATACTATCGTGTCATGATTTGCGCAAAATGGCATTTCCATAAATAAACCAATTGCATTGCATGGCCAATTTCCGTTTATTTTTATTGGCTTTCAACTCCCTCGCCTCGACACGTTCTGACTTAATTGATGACACCAGCATCCCAGGGAATATAAATATTATGAAACTTTTCCATTGCCGCCCCAATACCTACGAGTGCCGAACCGCGCTCCCCTAATGAACGATAAGGTTTATTGACAGCCAAACGTTACAAACTGACCCCTGGTGTTCGTCACCGGAGGCGATACTACGCCTTGGGAGGAACCATAGAACAAGCCCCTCCGGCCCAGATCTGGCTAACTTTGTATATAGAATATATAGCCGAGAGCGATCAGTCCGCCCCTTCGTGGGCAGTGTGAAATCTCAAGTTTTAGTTCGCACTTGCGGCATGTGTGAGTCCGGATTCGATTTGATGTGGATCGGATCGGATCGTATGGGATCGACGTCATGAGACGACTGATAACTTTTCTTTAGGCAATCCCCCCCTTGATGGCACATTAATTTTCAGCTTGATGACTGTGTACCCAGATTGGCAGGGCACTGTTGCTACTTTTAGAGCTTTGGATGCGAGCTATGGGCCTGGAGCTCTGGTTTTGTGGCTTTCCTGGCGGTTGTTCAAGGTTACTACGAGAGCTATCGGAGCAGGAATTTTTTGGGGGCTTGAGGCGTGACATTTGATCCAAAGCCCAGCCACTCGCCAACCTCATGATAACTTTCTCTATGATGGAGGCAGAACTGCAGAACCAAAGTACTTCTAAGGTCCTGAAAGACCCAAATAAGACATGACAATGCCTACAAATATTTTTTAATCGAAGGCCTTGACAATAAAACCATTTACGACCCAAGTAATCCACAAGTGTCGTATTCCAAAGCCGTGGCCTTGCACTTGATCCAGATATACTCATAATACAAAAATATAAAATTAAAATATAGCATTATCAGTCAAGTGCAGCTTCCAGTTTTATGGGTTTGTGCAGCAGCTCCCGATATCGGGGACTGGCGTTATGTAGGCAGCCCAGACTTCTGATAAAAAATGGATTTAAAACTTATTTGAAAAATGACAGGGACTCTTATAACTTATAACTATAAAAAAAATTACAGCATTTTGTGTTGATAATGATGGGAAGCCCGGGGGTAGCTGCGCAAGCCACTCTCGTGTTTTGAAAAATAACAAAAGTACTATAAATCATATTTCGAGTATATTTAGAAGAGGAGAACATCTACTATATACGATGCGATGTGATTGTGAATTCCATTGAGTTTCCGAGGGCCTGGCGACTATATAAGTCAGCGGCCAGGCCGAGAACAATTTCAAACGCGAGTTAGTCGCTCAAGTGCACGGTACTAATTGAAAAACTACTTCCAAACTAATACTAAAATTCTTTCAAAATGAGAATCCTGGCGGAGGTAAGAACTATATGACCCAAAGTCTCATTTCAACACATTTTATTATACAAATTTAATTAACAATTCAAGAACCATGTTAATTTGCTCGACCCCTCGGAGCTGATGCGTCCTGAGCCCACCTTTGCCGACAAGAATCCCTCCAAGTTCAGGGACTACAGCATCGACACCACAGATCCTTTGAAGGAGCGCGTGCGACAGACCTATCGCCAGATGCACTTGAACCAGACAGTTGACTTTGTCAATGGTAAGGACATATGAGTAGTCATATAATAAAGGATTTAATAATAAAATATTTTAAATTCCTGCAGGACGTCGTGATCGTTGGTTAAAATTCGACACAATTAAGATGACAATTCGCGAAGCTCTGGAGAAGCTTAATGACCTGGTGGACGAATCTGATCCCGACCTGGATCTTCCCAACATCATCCACGCCTTCCAGGCGGCGGAGCGAGCACGCGCCGAGTTCCCGGAGCACGACTGGCTCCACCTGACCGCCCTCATCCACGATCTGGGCAAGATTATGGCCTTCTACGATGAACCCCAGTGGGCGGTAGTGGGCGACACTTTCGCCGTGGGCTGCCGATGGGGCGACAGCATCGTCTACCGGGAGGAGAGTTTCGAGGGGAACCCGGACGGTGAGAACCCTGCCTACAACACCGAGTACGGTATCTACCAGCCCAACTGCGGAGTGGACAACCTGCTCATGTCCTGGGGCCACGACGAGTACATGTACAATGTCCTCAAGCACAACAAGACCAAGCTTCCCGACGTGGCCTGCAACATCATCCGCTTCCACTCCTTCTATCCGTGGCACAACGGCGGTGACTACAAGCACCTGGAGGCACCCAAGGATGCGGAGACCAAGAAGTGGGTCTTGATTTTCAAGTGAGTATTAAAGTCGGGCCATTAAGCTTGTTACATAAATCCAATAATATCAATTCCCTCTAGTCGCTATGACTTGTACACGAAGAGCGAGGTGGTGCCGGATATTGAGGCTCTGTGGCCTTATTACCAGAGCCTTATTGACAAATACTTGCCCGGAGTCATTGAGTTCTAAAGAAACCCAGGCAATCTAGGGGTTACTTTAATTCACAAGAGGGCCATATAACATACACATATACCTTTAATATAGCTTACCTTATACATATATACACTTGCAACAAATATTAAAATAATACATATTTTAAATTAAAGACAAAATGAATTTTACTTTATGTTTTTGAAAAATAATAATAATAATTTTGATGTGAAAAGAATTTTTACAAAGCCCATGTATTAATTACAGTTTAAAGGTTTTATTTCAAGTTTTCTAACTTTTTATTTTTTATCGTATTTTGCTTGTCCGTTTTTCTGAACGTAGCTCAGCAATTAGGGTTAAAAAATTAAAAAAAAATGTAAATAAAATATAACAGAAGTTCTTGAAATAGTAACATCAGCATCTGTAGCATTTTCCCCTGTTTATTTTCCAAACGCATCAAAACTTATTGTAGGTAATTGCATTCAGAGTCACACACATAAAATATAATACAAAAATAAATAGAGTAATTTAACTAACGCATCGACTGTCATCAAAATTTTGATATGCCTATTTAAATAAAAAATAGCAATTTGTCTAAATGTATGCCTTAAAAGTAACAATTGCATTGCGTGTGCCAATTAACTGGGACTAAAACACACCTCTGCCGAGCAATAAAAACAGCTCCAGTTTTTCCTTCCCATGTAGTTTGAAACAGTGCCTTGTGAAAAGTATGCTTCAAGTAAGCATTGTCCTTGTCCTAGCCTGCCTTTGGACCACTTCGTTCGCTGGTGATGTCGGGGATCCACTTCTCGTGGAGCTTCCCATTGGCCAGTTGCGGGGACGCGATAATGGAAACTACTACAGCTACGAGTCCATTCCCTATGCAGAGCCGCCCACAGGAGATCTCCGCTTCGAGGCTCCGGAACCCTATAAGCGCCAATGGACAGATACCTTTGATGCCACAAAGCCACCTGTACTATGCCTTCAATGGGATCAATTCACTCCTGGGGATAACAAGCTAGTGGGAGAGGAGGACTGCCTCACAGTAAGCATCTACAAGCCAAAGAACTCGAGCCGTAGCAGCTTTCCTGTGGTGGCCCACATCCATGGTGGAGCTTTTATGTTCGGCGGAGCCACACATGATGGACACGAGACTGTAATGAGGGAAGGCAGATTCATTCTTGTTAAGATTACCTACCGTTTGGGGCCACTAGGCTTCGTTAGCACTGGTGATACTCACTTACCCGGAAACTACGGCCTCAAAGATCAGCGACTGGCCCTCCAATGGATCAGGAAAAATATAGATAGTTTTGGTGGTGAGCCGGAGAACGTTTTGTTGATTGGTCACTCCGCTGGTGCTGCTCTTGTTCACCTGCAACTGCTGCAGGAGGATTTCGACCAGTTGGCCAGATCAGCCATATCCTTTAGTGGCAACGCTTTAGATCCCTGGGCAATCCAGAAAGGAGCCCATGAACGGGCCTTCGAACTAGGTCGCATTCTGGGCTGTGGGCAGTCGAAAGATCCGGTGGCTCTCAAGCAATGCCTAAAATCCAAGCCTGCTAGCGAAATAGTCACCGCTGTGAAGAACTTCCTTATATTTTCCTACGTGCCCTTTGCTCCATTCGGACCTGTGGTAGAACCCTCAGATGCCCCTGGTGCCTTTCTCACCCAGTCTCCAGAAGAAGTTATCAAAAGCGGAAAGTCTGGACAGGTGCCTTGGCTAGTATCCTATTTAACCGAAGATGGTGGGTACAATGCCGCACTACTTTTGGAGGAATCTTATCCTGGAGGGCCCACCTGGATTGAGAAACTCAATGATAGATGGTTGGACTGGGCTCCATACTTGTTATTCTATAAGAATTCGGAAAAAACTATTCAGGAAATAGATGACTACTCCAGTAAACTGAAAGAGGAGTACCTAGGAGATCGGCGGTTCAGCGTAGAAACTTATTTGGACTTGCAGAGAATGTTCACGGATGTCCTTTTCAAGAACAGTACACTGGATAGTCTTGATCTCTACCGAAGGTTTGGAAAAAGTCCTGTGTATGCTTATATGTATGATAATCCAGCTGAAAAGGGAATTGCCCAGGTCCTGACCAAGAACAGGGACGTGAACTTCGGTATAAACGGTACAATTATTTTAAAATATTTATAAAATTTATTCATTATGTAACAGGAACGGTCCATGGAGACGATTATTTCTTGATTTTCGACGTCATTAATCAAGATACCCAACGTCCAGATGCGGAAAGGATTTCAAAGAATTTTATTAAATTGCTGGAGGACTTTGCTATCGGCGACAAGGGGGTCTTGGCGTTTGGAGATTGTACTTTTCAGGATAATGTAGGTAGTGCCGACTTCAAATTAACATCAATAACCCGAAACGGATGTGAGAACAAGCAGTTCTCACAATTTCCCTAAACTAGAATTAATTTTTAAATAAAAGTAACTGCACTATTCGTTCTTTTCAAAGTAGCAATTATAAACATATTGCGAACCATTTTTCCTTGCGTGTATATTCGCTATTTGTTTGTCGAAAGTCAGCTTATCAATAAGGTTTTATAAATAACTGGCAGTCCGCTTAGAATCGTATCTAGAGTACCCTGTAATTAGAAAATTAGTAAAAGTAGTATATATATGAATTTAGTTTAAAAACTAATCAGAATTTCAAACACTTTGAGATGTAGTTATTAAGGTATCTTCGTTTAAAAACTAATTATCAAAGGCATCTGTACAAATAGTAGCTAGTAACTAAAACAACATGCATATAGAGTAATTAATCGAGCTTGATTGATTGCAATTACATAAGATGTTCCCCACCTAAACTGTGATAGAAAAACTAGATTTTTGGATAATCAAATTCCGGTAGTTCAACTTCAATTCACAGACAAATATCCTAATTTGTACATGCTTATCAGAGTCACAAAATTACAATTTTTCCAAAGCTAAATCAGGCTTGAGAAGCCACACAATCTCGTGGCGTACTCAGATCGATTGGGACTGGTTGCACAGGTGGTCCACTGAACTGGGGGCGATAAGCCCATCTGGCAATAAAAACAGCTCCAGTTTCCTCTATCCCAGATAGTTGCGATCGGTGCTTGGTGGAGTGAGCAACATGAACTGCGTGAGATCCGTCTTTCTGCTGAGCTGCCTCTGGCTCAGTTCCTCCGCCGGTGATTCCAGTAATCCCCTTTTGGTGGAGCTTCCCATTGGACAGCTGCGGGGCCGCGATAACGGAAACTACTACAGCTTCGAGTCCATTCCCTACGCAGAGCCCCCCACAGGAGATCTGCGCTTTGAAGCTCCGGAACCCTATAAGCGCCAATGGACAGATACCTTTGATGCCACCCAGCCACCTGTGCTGTGCCTCCAGTGGGATCAATTCACACCTGGGGATAACAAGCTAGTGGGAGACGAGGACTGCCTTACAGTTAGCATCTACAAGCCCAAGAACTCGAGTCGTAGCAGCTTCCCTGTGGTGGCCCACATCCATGGAGGAGCCTTCATGTTCGGAGGAGCCGCTCAGAATGGACACGAGAACGTCATGAGAGAAGGCAGATTTATTCTGGTCAAGATAAGCTATCGCCTCGGGCCACTGGGTTTTGCTAGCACCGGTGATACTGACTTGCCCGGAAACTACGGCCTCAAAGATCAGCGACTGGCCCTCCAATGGATCAAGAAAAATATTCATCACTTTGGCGGGGAATCGGAGAATATTGTGCTAATAGGACACTCTGCCGGAGGTGCCTCAGTACATCTGCAGCTTCTACAGGAAGATTTCGGTCAGTTGGCGAGATCTGCCATCTCCTTCAGTGGCAACGCCCTTGATCCCTGGGTCGTTCTTCAAGGATCTCGAGGGCGAGCACTTGAACTGGGACGCATCCTTGGCTGTGGGCAGTTGGATGACTCGGTGCTCCTAAAATCTTGTTTGAAATCCAAGCCGGCAAGTGAAGTGGTTACTGCAGTGCGAAATTTTCTCATTTTTTCCTACGTTCCGTTTGCTCCTTTCGGACCCGTTGTGGAACCAGACTATGATGGTGCCTTTCTTACCCAGGCTCCAGAGGATGTTATCAAAAGCGGAAAGTTTGGCCAAGTACCATGGGCTGTGACTTATGTAACCGAAGACGGAGGCTACAATGCGGCATTGCTGCTGGAGGAATCGTATCCGGGAGGACCTACTCTGATAGAGCAACTGAACGATCGGTGGTTCGACTGGGCTCCGTATTTACTTTTCTACAGAGACACAAAGAGAACCATCCTGGAAATGGATGACTACTCCAGAAAACTGAGGCAAGAGTATCTGGGTGATCGGAGATTCAACGTAGAAAACTATTGGGACTTGCAGCAAATGTTCACGGATGTCCTTTTCAAGAACAGCACTCAGGACTCGTTGGAGCTTCATCGAAAGTATGGAAAAAGTCCTTCCTATGCCTTCGTCTACGACAATCCTGCCGATAGAGGAATCGCACAGGTTCTGACCCAGCGCCGGGATGTTAATTTTGGTAATTATGAGTCAACATTTTTAATAAGAATCTTTTTATATTTTATGATTATATTACAGGAACGGTGCATGGCGACGACTACTTCTTGATTTTCGAAAATGTAGTTCGAGATCCGCAGTTGCGACCGGATGAAGAGAGGATATCCAAAAATTTCATAAAAATGCTGGCGGACTTTGCAACTTCCGAAATGGGATTCCTAACCTTTGGGGACTGCACTTTTAAGGATAACGTTGGCAGTGAGGACTTCGTTTTATTATCCATAACTCGCGATGGATGCGAAAACAAACAATTTAAACAGTTTCCATAATCCTTTCAATAAATTAAAAATTACTTTACTACCTATTGAAGATGTTTAAATCCCATATTATCGCACATTTGCTTTTAAAAACTACACCCGATTGTTTATACTTAGGAGTATCGGATTAGGTAGCTGAACCGTATACAATTTTATTAATACAATTTTCAACAATGAGATTGTGATTTCAGCAGTCTTCACAGGTCTACAAGCAATCTTTTACAGGTCTACAAGTCTTACCCCACCGGACTCTTGCTCCGGGTTCTCACGGAAAGCATTGTCATTGTGATTATCTGTTTGATGCCAATCGATAGGTAGTATACAGATAGTAGTCCCAAATAAATACTAAAAGCTGAAACCGCTCTTTATTAGCTTTGGTGTTTAGAGCTTAACCTAATAGTTGCGAACGGTGCTTTGGGGAATGAGCACCATGAGCTCCGTGAGATTCGTCTTTCTGCTGAGTTGCCTCTGGCTCAGTTCGTCGGCCAGCGATTCTGGTGATCCCCTTTTGGTGGAGCTTCCAAACGGCCGGCTTCAAGGTCGCGATAATGGAGACTACTATAGCTATGAGTCCATTCCGTATGCAGAACCACCTATAGGAGATCTCCGCTTCGAGGCTCCACAACCCTATAATCGGCAATGGGCAGAAACTTTTGATGCCACAAAACCACCAGTACTGTGCCTGCAAATGCTAATAATCCCACCCAATGGACAGGAGGACTGCCTCACAGTTAGCATCTACTAGCCCAAGAGTTCCAGTCGTGGCAGTTTTCCTGTGGTAGTCAACATCCATGGTGGCGGTTTCAACCATGGCGGAGCAGTTCAAAATGGCCACGAGAAGTTCATGAAAGAGGGCAGATTTATTCTCGTCAAAATAAGCTATAGGCTGGGAGCACTGGGCTTCGCCAGCACTGGTGATTCCGTCTTGCCTGGGAACTATGGCCTAAAAGACCAGCGCTTGGCTCTCCAATGGATCAAACAGAACATAGCCCACTTCGGAGGAGAACCGGAGAACATAGTGGTCCTAGGATCCTCGGCTGGAGGTGCTTCGGTTCATCTTCAGCTTCTTCAGGAGGACTTTGGACAGTTGGCGAGATCAGCCATCTCCTTAAGTGGGAATGCACTAGACCCCTGGGTGATCCAGCATGGAGCTCGTGAAAAAGCTTTTGAACTAGGTCGCATCTTGGGCTGTGGGCAGTTAGAAGACTCGATGGCGCTCAAGCAATGCCTGAAATCCAAGCCAGGAGATGATATTGTCAACGCTGTGAAGAGTTTTTTCGCCTTTTCGTACGTACCATTTGCTCCATTTGGGCCTGTGGTGGAACCCACAGATGCCTCTAGTGCCTTTCTCACGCAGACACCCGAGGAAATTATCAAAAGCGGAAAGTTTGGACAGGTGCCTTGGTTAGTGTCTTATTTGACTGAAGACGGTGGTTTTAATGCCGCCCTGCTACTGGAGGAATCGTATCCTAACGGACCCACCTGGATAGAGCGGCTCAACGATCGGTGGTTCGACTGGGCTCCATACTTGTTATTCTACAGGGACTCGGAGAAAACTATTCAGGAAATAGATGACTATTCCAGGAAACTGAGAACGGAGTACCTAGGAGATCGTCGGTTCAGCGTAGAAAGTTATTTGGACTTGCAAAGAATGTTCACGGACGTCCTTTTCAAGAACAGGACACAAGAGGCATTGGATCTCCATCGAAAATTCGGAAAATGTCCTGTGTATGCTTATGTCTATGACAATCCTGCCGATAGGGGAGTAGCACAGGTTCTCACCCAGCGTAGGGATATCAAATTTGGTAACTTGATTTTTAATTGTTTTAATTGTGGTATCAACGCTGTATAATTTTTCAGGAACAGTGCATGGCGACGATTACTTTTTGCTGTTCGAGAGCGGAGTGAGAGATCCTCAGTTGCGTTCGGATGAGAAAAGGATTTTCAAAAACTTTATTAATATGTTGGAGGAGTTTTCTATTAACGAAAAGGGAAACCCCTCCTATGGAGAGTGCACTTTTCAGGATAACGTTGACAGTGAGCACTTCAATTTATTATCCATAACTCAAGACGGATGTGAGAACAAAAAATTTGCACAATTCCCTTAAGCAGTAAAAACAAAGTTTAGTTCCAAAGGAAGCTATTATTTAACAAATCGACTAGTATAAAAGTATTTGATTATTTTTCAGCCAGCGATTAAATAAAAACAAACCTTATCAAAAAACATATATAAGAATATATTAGATGCAGCAGTTGAGGCAGTAAAAATGTCGTCATTATTTTTGAGACTTGTTTCAGTTTCCAGTAAACAAGTTTCTGTTGTCAGTTGCTCTAATAGTTGCGATCGGTGCTTTGAAGAATAAACAACATGAGTTCCATGGGATACGTATTTGTACTGATGTGCTTTTGGATTGGTTCGAGTGTCGGTGGTTCCAGAGATCCCCTTCTTGTGGAGCTCCAAAATGGACAACTACGGGGACGCGATAATGGAAACTACTACAGCTACGAATCCATTCCGTATGCAGAACCTCCTACTGGTGATCTCCGCTTCGAAGCTCCGGAACCCTATAGCCGCCAATGGAATGAAACCTTTGATGCCACCCACCCACCTGTGCTGTGCCTGCAATCGATAATAAATACCACTATAGGACAGGAGGACTGTCTGACAGTTAGCATCTACAAGCCCAAGAACTCTAGTCGTGACAGTTTCCCCGTGGTAGCGAATATCCATGGAGGTGCCTTCAGTCGAGGCGGAGCAGTGCAAAATGGACACGAGAATGTTATGCGGGAAGGCAGCTTTATTCTCGTCAAGATAAGCTATCGCCTTGGAGCTCTGGGCTTCGCCAGCACTGGTGATACTCATTTACCCGGAAACTATGGCTTGAAAGACCAGCGCTTGGCCCTCGATTGGATAAAGAAGAACATAGCCCACTTCGGAGGAGAACCGGAGAACATAGTTGTCCTTGGTCACTCTGCAGGAGGGGCATCGGTGCATCTACAGCTTCTACAGGAGGACTTTGGCCAGTTAGCCAGATCTGCCATTTCCTTAAGTGGCAACGCCTTAGATCCTTGGGTCATCCAGAAAGGAGCTCGTTTCCGAGCCTTCGAACTGGGTCGCATTCTGGGATGTGGACATTTGGATGACTCTGGGGCCCTGAAGAACTGCCTGAAATCCAAGCCGGCTATAGATATCGTGACAGCGGTACATAGTCTGTTAGTCCTCCCAAAAGTTCCCTTCGCTCCTTTCGGTCCTGTGGTGGAGTCTTCTGAAGTTCTCAATTCTTTTCTATCACAAAGCCCTGAAGAGATAATTAAAAGTGGAAAGTTTGGAAGCGTTCCATGGATAGTAAGCTATGTGACTGAAGATGGTGGCTACAATGCTGCCTCGCTATTGGAGGAATCCTATCCAGGAGGGCCTACTCTTATAGAGAAACTCAATGATCGGTGGTTCGACTGGGCTCCGTATTTACTTTTCTATAGAGATGCAAAGAGAACTATCCAGGAAATGGATGACTACTCCAGGAAACTGAGACAAAAGTATCTTGGGGATCGGAAGTTTAGCGTGGAAAGCTACTTTGACTTGCAGCAAATGTTTACGGATGTCCTTTTCAAGAACAGCACTCAGGATTCGTTGTTCCTTTATCGAAAATACGGCAAAAGTCCTGTTTATGCTTATGTCTATGATAATCCTGCTGACAAAGGAGTGGCGCAGGTTCTAACTAAGCGTAGAGACATACAATTTGGTAATTTTCTGGTTATTTTTCCAAGACCTAATGTTTTTTTTATGTAATGTATGATTATTTTTCAGGAACTGTGCATGGCGACGATTACTTTTTAATGTTCGAAAGCGCTTTGAGAGATTCTCTACGTTCCGATGAGGAAAAGATATCAAAAAACTTCATTAAAATGATAACGAACTTTGCTGTTTTCGATGAAGGTCCTTTATCCTTTGGGGACTGCACTTTTCACGATAATGTTGGCAGTGAAAAGTTTAATTTACTTTCGATAACTCGCACCGGTTGTGAAAATAAACAATTTATAGAATTTCCTTAAAATTTGCAAACTTTCTGTAATGATTACGAAGAGAAAGAGTATTCTATCTCAATCGACGATCAAGTCGTTTTAGCTTTTGTTTGTTGATGTCTTATATTATATTTATATATATTATAACATTTAATCGTTGCTAATTTTCAGCAGGCCGTTTACATGATTCGAACGCGTTAAGTACAATGTTTATAATGTGAAATCAGGTACTGGTGACTTTATTTCGGGAGAGGCTATAAAAACGGGAATGTAAACCCTGTTTGTTGGCAGTCGCGTCTCGAAATGAAATGGTGCACGTGTGTGACTTTAATTTGGATTTTTTGGACGGGCTCTGTGGAGTCTGAATCCCCTCCCGATCCTCTGATCGTCGAGATTCCAAACGGAAAAATCCTTGGTCTGGATAATGGACTTTACTACAGCTACGAATCGGTGCCGTATGCTGAGCCCCCGATTGGCGATCTCCGGTTTGAGTCTCCCAAACCGTATGAAGGCCATTGGAAGGACATTTTTAACGCCACCCGACCACCTGTAGCGTGCCTGCAGTGGAATCAGTTCATCGATGACACCAACAAGCTGGCTGGCCAGGAGGACTGCCTGACGGTGAGCATCTACAGGCCAAAGAGCACAAAAAGGAGCAGTCTTCCAGTGCTGGTTCTTCTCCATGGAGGGGCCTTTATGTTCGGCAGAGCTTCGCTGAATGGACACGAGTACCTTATGCGGCAGGGAACTCTGATAGTGGTCAAAATTAGCTATCGTGTTGGACCTCTGGGTTTTGTGAGCACTGGGGATAAAGACTTACCCGGCAACTTTGGCCTGAAGGACCAACGTTTGGCCCTGGAGTGGATCAAGAAAAACATAGCCCACTTCGGTGGCAAACCGGAGAACATTGTGCTCATTGGTCACTCGGCGGGAGGAGCCTCTGTTCACCTGCAAACTCTGCGCCATGATTTTGGTCAGTTGGCGAAGGCAGCGGTTTCCGTCAGCGGCAATGCCCTGGACCCATGGGTCGTTCAGAGCGGAGCTCGAAGACGAGCCTTTGAACTGGGTCGCCTCTTGGGCTGCGGACAATTGCATGACTCGGTGGCCCTCAAGAAATGCCTCAAATCTAAGCCTGCCGGTGAAATAGTCTCCGCCGTGAAAAGTTTCCTGATATTTTCCTACGTCCCATTCACACCATTTGGTCCTGTAGTGGAACCTGCGGATGCTCCAGGTGCCTTCCTCACCCAACATCCCAGTGAAGTCATTAGGAGTGGAAAATTTGCCCAAATCCCTTGGCTTGCCTCATACACAACTGAAGATGGTGGATACAATGCAGCTTCTTTGCTGGAACAATCCAACAAAACTGGGGAAAATTTAATTGAAAAACTAAATGATCGCTGGTTCGACTGGGCGCCGTACTTGCTATTCTACCGGGACTCCTTCGAAACCATTAAAGACCTGGATAATTATTCCACAGACATAAGACAGGCCTATCTTGGAGATCGACGTTTTGGCTTAGAAAGTTATTGGGACTTGCAGCGGATGTTCACGGATGTGCTCTTCAAAAACAGTGTGCCAAAGGCTCTGGATCTTCATCGCCAGTACGGAAAAAGTCCTGTTTACTCGTTCGTGTATGACAACCCATCCGTCAGCGGAGTGGGACAGGTCCTTTCCAAGCGCAGTGATGTCAATTTTGGTAGGTTTTCAACATTCAAAATACTCTATTTATTAACTTGGGTCTTTTTTAAGGTACTGTCCATGGAGATGACTTCTTTCTCATTTTTGATGTGGGATCCTTCAGAGCAGCTATTCGCCCAGATGAGGAAATTATTTCCCGAAACTTTATTAGGATGCTGGAAGATTTTTCCTTAAGTGATAATGGAACTCTGACCTTCGGCAGCTGCGTTTTTGAAGACAATGTGGGGAGAGAGCATCTACAACATTTAAGAATCACACGAAATGGCTGCAAAAATGAGAAATTCTCTCTTTAATCTTTAATACAAAAATTCTTAATAATACAAAAGATAGATTTTATTAATTATGCTGCTTGGCTAATAAGGTGCTCCTCATTTAGTTCATCGTCCTCAGCATTTTCTTTATCCTCTTCTCCCAAAATATTTCCATACAACTCGATCTTGCTATCCAGAAAGCGAAAGTCTTTTAGGATGTGCAACTTGTTGCTAAAGCCGGCAATGGACATTAACTTTATAGGCGCCGGTTGCCAAACAGTGGAGTAGCATGCGGTGTGCTCCACCGGGATGTTGGCCTGCAGGGCTCCGTTCAGGGTGTAGGATTGGACATGGTTGTGCTCGCCTCCAATAAAGACGCAGTCTTCCACAAAATCACAGACATGCACACGGCCGGGGAAGTCAAACACCCGAGAGCACTCCATGGAGCGTAGATGATATATGGAGGCCTTCGGTCCGCCGCCGCACAGTAGCCAATCATCGTTGACGGCCACGGCACCAATCCACTTTCCCCAATCTGGTCGCAGCAAGTTTGGGTTTTTGTGCGGTTCCAGGAGCCCCGTAGCCTCCGGTTGTGTTGTACTCCAAATGCGCACAGTACCATCCTCGGCGCCAGAGAAGATCTGTCCCGCGTCGTTGCCTACCACACTGTGCACATAATCCGTGTGGCCACGATATTCTCGCTTTATGCGTCCATCCTCCAGGGAGATCTCGTAGATGACCCCATCGCCACAGCCAGCGAACAGAGTGTGCGTGTCGTGGTTCAGCCACATGGAGTTAACATCGGGAACCTCTACGGCATCCACCTGCATGGGAATCTTAACTTCCCAGCTGCGTTTCGGCTTCAGAATCTCCTCCTCCTCGATCCACTGAAGTCCGTAGATGAGGCCCACGGCACCAATGATGAGAAAATCGCCATGGAAGGCCAGGCAGTTAATTTCCACATGGCTGCCTTGTGAAAACACCATCAGTTTGCCGGGTGGATCCTCGGAACTCGGGTCCAGTTCCTTCAGGCTACAATATTGTTTTGTTTTTAGTTTATTATCTTCAAAACTTTTGACTACCTTACCGCAAAACAAAAACATCGCCAAAGAGATTCCCGGCAAACAGGTATTGATTGGACGACGAGATGGCCTGGGCCATGACATTATTGTAGGCACGCTTCAGATCTCGTTCTTTCATATTTTTGTTGTTTGAAATGTAAAACCTAAACTAAACTACTCTTAAAAAATGTAATAGGTATGGGATAATACCGATAACTATTCTTCTTCTTTCAAAGTTCTTCACATTCACATGTCATCTCATAATGCGGTCACACTGTTAACTGAAATGTAACGTTTATTCAAAATCATAAAACCCGCGAAGAAACTGGTTTTTAATCACAACACATTATTTGGCTTTAAGGAAATACAATCAATTGTAATTTCAATTATCTGAGCAAAATCGGTCGCAATTTGCATTCCATGTAAATAATTACTTTTTCGATTCGTGTGTGCCTTAAATTAAAAAACACCAATTGGATTTTGAAGTAAGTGTACTTACTGTTTACGATTAAACTCATTAATTGTCGGCTGGCATGGTTTCTAAATTCAGAATTTCTCCTTTAAACAGAGTTCAATGGCATTCCGAATTCCCCATTATTTATTATTTTTTTGCACTCTCACAATGAAAGTCTAAAACTGCCATTTCATCACCGCTTAAAAATATGCGATTGTAAGCCCACGATGACGTATCAAAATACTAGTAATATGGTTTAATAAATAATGAATCATCGACTTAAAGAAAAGTCAATATGTGACGTCAAGTTTTGAGAGGCTTGGAGCGCGTGGTTGTGTTCATGTTTGATTTTAAACGAACGATGATTGCCCACTTATGATTGTTTTTAAATTAAATTGCTATCAACTTCAGGTTTCCTTTGTTTACTTCTCAAAAATAGCATAATTTGCTTGGGTTTATTTACCAAAACATATATAAATTTGTATGATGGACTCATCAAAAACAAACATGGTCCCCCACAGATTGTGGAATAAAAATTTATATTATTAGTTCCGATTCGATCACACCCATATCAGTTTTTGACTTTGGAAATCTTGACTTATATTTTCAAAAACAATTAATAGATCAGTCTCAGTCCCCTGCTAGACGATTTGTAAAACCCGCGTAAATGCTTATAGTATATACAGATTGTTGTTATTAAACTTTACATATTTGACAACTTAATACTCTATCCTCGACGTTTATTGAACCCATTTAAAGCAAGGCAGACACCAACTTAGGAAGCATGATATTAGCATTATAACCGATTTTTGAAACGTTTTTTCGATCCATATTATTGAGACTGTTGTTTGTTCTCGTTCGTTCTAATCGTTCTAATTTATATGCAAATTCGTATGGCTTATTAATGTCGAGACAGTTAATTTATAATTAATTATTTCGGCGCCAATAAGCTGTTCGGTGTTCGATTCGTCGCAGCATAATTCACATTGGCCCCAGCTAAGATAGGCGCATAAATTCCAAAAACATCCGAAATTCCCAGTATCCCATTAAAGCCCAGAACCTTGTTTTGGGCGTGTTTGAAAGGCGGTTTTCCAGCTTGATCAATTCCTTATCTGTGGGCAAAACATATCAAGTTTTATAATCGACTCGAGCTGCGCTTCATTTCTGAGCCAGCATATTAATGGCATGCAAATTTAATTTGACAACTTGACGTATTATGCGAATTCGGCTTGAGATTCCAATCCAAACGATTAGTTTTGACGACTTTCTTAGCTTGACTTTTGGGAATACTTTTGATAGGCATTTGCACGTGTTTTCAGGGAATTCCAGAGCTGTCGGAACTGCAGCGGGAACTAGTTTTCAAACCGCTATATGTAGCTATAATATATCTTCGATATAAAATAAATTCCGTCTGGCGCCGCAAAGTTTCTTTGCACTTTGACTGGGGGCTATCAAGCGATCATCTTTCTTTTTTTTAGACATTTTTTTTTCTTCTCCCGACTAATGATAAATGCTTCTGATGAATTTTAGCAAATTTTGTTTGCTACACAGTCATGGCCCAGTTGGATTTTTTTTTGTATTTTTTTATGGGAATTCCCAACTGCCATAAATTTCTTCTAAGCGGCTCTTTCTTTTTTATTTATTTTGTTTGCTGTTCCCCATCGAAATTCGCATTCTGTTTTGGAGACCAACCGGATCTACATATGTAGTTTGTCCGAGAAACACAATATTTAGGCCCTGCCAGCCCAGATTCCCGGCTCCCAAGGTTTGGAGCTGGAACTTTTACTGCTGCCGCGAAAAGTGGTGGGGCGACTACTGGTTCTACGCCGTTGCATATTAAAAGCTCATTTCGCCGACACATTAATTAAATCTGTAAGCACCGTACAAAACAAATGGTGTTAGTTGACGTCAACGAACGATCCGAATTGCTACGGCGATCTTGGTCAATGCACTCGGAGCGCCTACTTTGGGGATTAGCAGCTTTCTAGCTGGAGAAGTCTTTGGATTCGGAATTCCGTCAAGGTCAGCTACTTTCTCGAGCAAGGCAAGCCACTTTTGTTTTTGGCGCCAGAGTTGCGAGCCGCTGAACTTTATGATCAACCGAAAAAAACAACCATTTTTGGGTGTTCCCGGGCTCTCATTTGCATCAATTTACATCTCGGATTCCCGGTCGCGAAATTTAAATTTTAATTACCAAATAAATCTCACCGGTTCTTGGCATTTGCTGGCGGAAAATGAAATATGCATTCAGTCAGAGGACACTAAAACTCAAATTGCCCCGCAAAAGCTCAAAACGAAAGAGTTTTATTGGCCGCCCAACCTGTTCTATAAAGTTTGACGATGTGCTGAAAACTAATTGGAAGATTACCTCCCGCCACCTGTCCAGTCGATAAAATAGAGACTCCTCCCAGAACGGGAAGTCTTAGTTATATGTCCCGCACGTGTTGTTTCAGATGCTCCAGGGGGCCATTTCTTTGTAGATGGTGTAGGGTAAAGCAAGTGCTTCACACCTTCGTGCCCAATTAACTTTGTTAATATTTACGTATTTATAAACTTCAGCCTGTCAATGGGATTTGTAAACATTTAGCTTCTGTGAGCTTCTCAAGGGAGGAATTATTATCCCATTGGCACGTGAAATGGCTCTTGCACTCCTTTTTCCCCCCAAAAAATGCTTGCGATTTTATTGACGTACTGGAATTTGGACAGCCAGTCTGAAAAACAAAGTCATTGGCGGGGTGTTTTTACAATTCGGTTGCTAATTAAGTAAATAAAATTAATGCGATCGCTGAGCTCCGTTGTTTTCATTAACAAATCACCAGCCTGGCGCCAAGCAAATTAACTCCCATTTTAAATATTTGTGTTTTCATTGGGGCTAAAATATTTGTTTTTTTTTGGGGAATTTTTACGCAGGAAAATCTAAGCCGAGAAGAAGAAACCACAGCCACCGAGGAGAACAATAACATTGATTGAGTCAGCATTGTTGTGATTTGGATCTGGGACGCAATCTACATATTAATATGTTTATATAAAATATTAAAAAAAAAAAAAGAACCACAGACAGGGAACTTGATTCATCGCAGTTCCCCTAAATTTCGCTCTGAATTAGCAACATTTTTGGACTTTGAGGCGTAAATAAATAACTGATTAATACGAATTCTTTTGGCGCCACTAAATGAAAATACAAAAATAAACGGTTATAGGTATTCGTCTCTAAAGGCAAACGTAAATCCTTTCCATTCACCAGTCCATCTATTTTTTTTGGTTGGCTTTGAAAGGTTGTCAGTATTGTTGTTTGGTTTGGTTTAATCAGATCCTTAAATAAGACTTTCCCCAAAGATCCCCCAGATCGTAGACTTTTAGCAAATGCTAAAATTTAGAAAACTTTATACCTGTTTTCGATTTTTTGTCAGAAAAAAGTGTATAAATCAACTATTAATTTGCAGATCCTGAAATGGTATACTTTCCCGATCTTAAAACTTCGAAAACTATCATTTCCAGTCAAAACCTGGTAACAAAAATTTTGACTCATTTTTCGTGATTTTTTTAAGGGGTACCCTCATGAATTTTGGCCAAAAATTGAGCGAAAATTTGTTTGGTTGATTTTTGAAATATTTTGATGCAGATCGATGGGAATGAGTTATCTGATGAATAAATGGTATTCCGTTTTAGAATCGGTTTCAAAAAAGTTGAAATATTCGCTAAAAAGTGAATAAAAAGATTCGATTTTGGCCATATAAAAATTTTTGAAAATTTTATTTAAATTTTTGCGTTTTTTTGTCAGAAAAGTGTGTACAACTCGGGCAATAATTGGCAGATCCTGAAATGGGAGACTTTCCCGATCTAAGAACTTCGAAAACTATCATTTCCAGTCAAAACCTGGCAACAAAAATTTTGACTCATTTTTCGTGATTTTTTTAAGGGGTACCCTCATGAATTTTGGCCAAAAATTGAGCGAAAATTTGTTTGCTTGATTTTTGAAATATTTTGATGCAGATCGATGGGAATGAGTTATCTGATGAATAAATGGTATTCCGTTTTAGAATCGGTTTCAAAAAAGTTGAAATATTCGCTAAAAAGTGAATAAAAAGATTCGATTTTGGCCATATAAAAATTTTTGAAAATTTTATTTAAATTTTTGCGTTTTTTTGTCAGAAAAGTGTGTACAACTCGGGCAATAATTGGCAGATCCTGAAATGGGAGACTTTCCCGATCTAAGAACTTCGAAAACTATCATTTCCAGTCAAAACCTGGCAACAAAAATTTTGACTCATTTTTCGTGATTTTTTTAAGGGGTACCCTCATGAATTTTGGCCAAAAATTGAGCGAAAATTTGTTTGCTTGATTTTTGAAATATTTTGATGCAGATCGATGGGAATGAGTTATCTGATGAATAAATGGTATTCCGTTTTAGAATCGGTTTCAAAAAAGTTGAAATATTCGCTAAAAAGTGAATAAAAATATTGGATTTTGGCCATACAAAAATTTTTGAAAACTTTGTTTAAATTTTTGCGTTTTTTTGTCAGAAAAGTGTGTTCAACTCGGCCAATATTTGGCTGATCCTGAAATGGTATACTTTCCCGATCTTAAAACTTCGAAAACTACCATTTCCAGTCAAAACCTGGCAATACAAATTTTGACTCATTTTTCGTGATTTTTTTAAGGGGTACCCTCATGAATTTTGGCCAAAAATTGAGCGAAAAATTGTTTGCTTGATTTTTGAAATCCTTTGATGCAGATCGATGGGAATGAGTTATCTGATGAATAAATGGTATTCCGTTTTAGAATCGGTTTCCAAAAAGTTGAAATATTCTTTAAAAAGTGAATAAAAATATTGGATTTTGGCCATACAAAAATTTTTGAAAACTTTGTTTAAATTTTTGCGTTTTTTTGTCAGAAAAGTGTGTTCAACTCGGCCAACATTTGGCTGATCCTGAAATGGTATACTTTCCCGATCTTAAAACTTCGAAAACTATCATTTCCAGTCAAAACCTGGCAACAAAAATTTTGACTCATTTTTCGTGATTTTTTTAAGGGGTACCCTCATGAATTTTGGCCAAAAATTGAGCGAAAATTTGTTTGGTTGATTTTTGAAATCTTTTGATGCAGATCGATGGGAATGAGTTCTCTGATGAATAAATGGTATTCCGTTTTAGAATCGGTTTCCAAGAAGTTGAAATATTCGCTAAAAAGTGAATAAAAAGATTCGATTTTGGCCATTTAAAAATTTTTGAAAATTTTATTTAAATTTTTGCGTTTTTTTGTCAGAAAAGTGTGTACAACTCGGGCAATAATTGGCAGATCCTGAAATGGTATACTTTCCCGATCTTAGAACTTCGAAAACTATCATTTCCAGTCAAAACCTGGCAACAAAAAATTTGACTCATTTTTCGTGATTTTTTTAAGGGGTACCCTCATGAATTTTGGCCAAAAATTGAGCGAAAATTTGTTTGCTTGATTTTTGAAATCTTTTGATGCAGATCGATGGGAATGAGTTCTCTGATGAATAAATGGTATTCCGTTTTAGAATCGGTTTCCAAGAAGTTGAAATATTCGCTAAAAATTTAATAAAAATATTGGATTTTGGCCATATACAAATTTTTGAAAACTTTGTTTAAACTTTTGCGTTTTTTTGTCAGAAAAGTGTGTACAACTCGGGCAATAATTGGCAGATCCTGAAATGGTATACTTTCCCGATCTTAGAACTTCGAAAACTATCATTTTCAGTCAAAACCTGGCCACAAAAATTTTGACTCATTTTTCATGATTTTTTTAAGGGGTACCCTCATGAATTTTGGCCAAAAATTTAGCGAAAATTTGTTTGCTTGATTTTTGAAATCTTTTGATGCAGATCGATGGGAGTGAGTTCTCCGATAAATAAATGGTATTCCGTTTTAGAATCGTTTTCCAAAAAGTTGAAATATTCGGTAAAAAGTGAATAAAAATATTGGATTTTTGCCATATAAAAATTTCTGAAAACTTTGTTTAAACTTTTGCGTTTTTTTGTCAGAAAAGTGTGTACAACTCGGGCAATAATTGGCAGATCCTGAAATGGTATACTTTCCCGATCTTAGAACTTCGAAAACTATCATTTCCAGTCAAAACCTGGCCACGAAAATTTTGACTCATTTTTCGTAATTTTTTAAGGGCTACCCTCATGAATTTTGGCCAAAAATTTAGCGAAAATTGGTTTGCTTGATTTTTGAAATCTTTTGATGCAGATCGATGGGAATGAGTTTTCTGATGAATAAATGGTATTCCGTTTTAGAATTGGTTTCCAAAAAGTTGAAATATTCGCTAAAAAATGAATAAAAAGGTTCGATTTTGGACAAATAAAAATTTTTGAAAACGTTGTTTAAATTTTTGCGATTTTTTGTCAGAAAAGTGTGTACAAGCCGGCCAATAATTGGCAGATCCTAAAATTTTATATGAGGAAGTTTGAAAAATAGTTATTTAAAAAACATGTGTATCAAAAATCGGATGGATATTCACAATAAAACATATGTACATATATCCATCGTTCGGATTTATGCAATAAAGATGCGCAAAAGCAAACTTTCAAAAAAATTCCACCTTTTCAGTTTTAGAATGAAACATTTCCAAAGGAAAACGACAAACACAAAACAAGTCTACTAATCAGAATTCCGAGATGCCAAGTATATACATAATTAAAAATGTATTTGTCACCCCGAAAAATTCACTCCACCTGAGAGGGGCCGAAACTCCAGCCAGGTAGAGAATACCTGTTCTATTGTCTCGTATCTCGATTTTCTTCAGCCCCAAAAATATTTATGAATTTCTGAGCGAGAGTCCATAATTCTCGGAATCCTGTTCGTTTTTCTGCTAACATCACCGATTCACCGAGCGATGAAATTTGATATTTTGGGAATGACGATGCAATCGCCAAAAAATAACCCAAATCTACTTCCGTTTCCCATTTAGATTTGAACTTTTCTTTGGCCCCAGCGAGAGCTGGGCGGGAAAAATACGCCACAAGCGAAATTTTACGACTTGTTTGCTGTCATAACAACTGGCTACCGGAGACGAGATGATACGGGATCCGAGATACGGGTCCGGAGAGAGATCATGGATCAGGTATTGGAGAGACAACCGGCGAAATATTTTTTGGCTGAGCGCGAGCGGGCACGTATAAAAAATCGCGGCTGTCGTCAGAATGAATTTAGATTGAAGCGAACGCTCTTAGCAGACAGAACTCAAAGATACAGAGATACAAAGATACGACAAAAAGTTAGAACCCGAAAAAGTGACTCTATTTAAATACCTGTTCAGTGACAAGTGCAACCCAAACCAAACAAAAACTATGCGCGGCAACAGTATACCCCACGTTCTGGGACTGGGACTCCTTCTGCTGACTACTATCTGCCTCCTGCCCACTCCCACGGAGAGCTACGCCATCGGACAGTCAAAGTTCGGACGGATCGAGAAGTTCCCCTACCAGGTGATGCTCATTGGCAAGCAGCTGTGGCGCAAGCGCATTCTTTGCGGTGGAACCCTGCTGGACAGGCGCTGGATCCTCACCGCCGGACACTGCACCATGGGGGTGACCCATTTCGACGTATACCTGGGCACCAAGAGCGTGGAGGACACCGAGCAGCTGGGAGGACTGGTCCTGCGCTCCAACAAGTTCATAGTCCACGAAAGATTCAACCCGGAGACGGCGGCCAACGACATCGCGCTGGTAAAGCTGCCCCGGGACATTGCCTTCACTGCCAGGATTCAGCCCGCTGTCCTGCCCACGAGATACCGACACGACCAGTTCGCGGGTACGAGTGTGGTGGCCAGCGGATGGGGCGCCACCGTGGAGATGACGAACTCGGACTCCATGCAGTACACCGAGCTGAAGGTGATCTCGAATGCAGAGTGCGCCCAGGAGTACGACGTGGTCACCTCCGGTGTGATTTGTGCCAAGGGCCTGAAAGACGAGACAGTCTGCACAGGGGACTCTGGCGGACCACTGGTGCTCAAGGATACTCAGATGGTGGTGGGCATTACCAGTTTCGGGCCCGCCGACGGCTGCGAGACGAACATCCCAGGCGGCTTCACCCGGGTAACCCACTACCTGGACTGGATCGAGAGCAAGATTGGGGGGCAGCGCCACCATCAGCCCCATCATGCATACGGCTCTGATAACCTTATCTAAAATGGGACAACCTCTTGCCCCAGGGCCCTTCGACTGAATCTCTAGCTTTACACCCGAAAAGCAGTTCTCCAATCTTGTGATATACCTCTCATTGAAAATTTGTACATTTGTTTTTAGCCATAACTATTTAAACATCTATATTTATTTTTTAGTTTTAAGATGATGCCAAAACCGAAATGCCGACCTCAGCGGCTAGAAAACAAAAAGAAAGCATCGAATGCAAAATATAAAGAAATTGTATACGAAAATAAAAAAAAAACAAAAATAACAAATAATAGCACTAAACCTGATTCGGCTTTTCTGTTCAGTCTGTTTAGTCATGCTGATTTTTGAGTGGACCTGTGGAATTCCCGCATCTCGGATCTCTGAAATCTGAATCTGATCTCGACCAGCGATAATCGATCGATAAAAACTTTTACGTCGTCGTCGAGTGATAATTTCTGAACGGTTAACTGTTTCGTATTTTTGTTTTTTTTTTTTGTTTAGGAGCAGTGGGGTTTTCTGTCATATTTTTTTTACATAATTTACAAAGACTCCAGTAGGCTTACCCCCTTCAGATGTCTACCCCCCCTTTCACAAACCACTTACTTTACATAATATTCGTGTGTGTTGACTTTACACTCGACGCGACTCGAAGATCTCCAAGAACTCGAACCCACTCCAGTTTGGCGGAGATGACGCTCGACGCTGTCCCACTTGGTATTTAGTTCCGTGATGGACGATTCTATTTCTACCAGTTTTGAACTTTGGCTAGCCCCAAAGAGTAGCCCCCAGATTTTCTTTCGCCTTTTGTTGGCCAACTTGAATTGTGTCAGATCTATTTTGCCTCTTGGCCGAGGCCAGTGACGCAGGCTTTCGCCCCAAAGATTCCGAGCTGAATTCGATATCTTCTTAATGTCCGAAAAACAATCCAATGCTCGACAGCTGGTTGTCGATCAATTAACTGGATGACTCGCTCCGATTTAAATTCGCCATCTACGCCATATAATTTATAATGACTGGAGCAGTTAATCGGGTGCAACTTGTTAATGCTTCGATTAGAGCAGAGATATATTCAAAGATTTGGAAAGTACCTCCATAAAAATCGCAAATAGTTCAGGTCTGTTTCGTCAAAACAGAATCGCATTGCATAAATTCAAGATTAAAGTTTCTGCGGCGAACAGGCCCTCTGAAATGAAGATATAAAGTTCGTTCTAGTTCCCTCCCACCACATCTGAATATGGCCAAAAGCAAACTGGTTCACTGAACTAAACGAGCTTGTAGTTTTCAGCAATAAATCACGAGGCTCTCACCACCACAGTCAAGGCGAATCTTTTCGAATGTTTTCCTTTCGAGCACACACGCGCCCTTGGGGCTTTCAATTAGTTTTTGAATAATTAGCCAGTCCTAAATCGTGCCTCGGCCAGATTTGCATTATTAAAAAAAATTAATCGCCAATAGCAGACTTTTCAATTACAGCAATTATTCAATTAATTTATATAAACAGCTTGTAAGTTCTCAGGAAAGTGCTTGGGAAACAAACTCCAGGTTGGACGGAAAGAATATTTATTCCATTGTAAGTGTAAATTTATTTAAAGCACTAGATGAATTATTGCTTGCCATCGATTTTGGAATCCATCTGGGTAACATTATATAGATTTAGGACTAATTTATTTGGTGTTTAGCTTTCATTGTGCTCGACTTTGAGATTTGCGCTAATAAGTGCATAAAAATTTTGGTTGCGTTGCTAGCTTTGGTACCAGTTTCCTCTCCAACAAACGATTAGCACTGGGCGGACGCCTGCTTGGCCTTCTTCTTCAGCACACAGTCGATGGCCTGGGACACCTCCAAGAAGATATCGTCCACATCGCGCTCGGCATTAATCTGTCCAAAGGAATACATTAGATAAGTCTTAAAAATGAGTATTCCAAACAGACTCACCGTCAGGGTCTTTTCGTTATACAGTTCCAGGATGTCGTTGGTGTTCTGCTTGAAAGTCTTCAGGCGCTGCCTAATGGTCTTTTCGTTGTCATCGGCCCTCTGGACCGCTGCGGCAGCGGCGCGTGCCAGGATGCGCTGCAACATGGTCTCCTCGGAGCAGTCGAAGTACAACGCCAGATCTGCGGGTGCCACGCGGATCTCAAATTCCACGCCCTGGTTCTTCTCCCTGGGATAGCCATCGATGAGGAAGCCCTTGGAGTTGCCCTTGGCCCGGACGATGGCATCGTTCAGGAGCGAGAGGACCTCCTCATTGGACACGAGACCTCCACTGGCCATGATGGCCTGCAACTTGCGGCCCTTGTCCGATCCGGAAGCCACCTGAAAGTTGGTAAATCACAAAAGATAAATATTTTATTAAACTGATAAGGTCCGAGATAAGATCAGTGTTCTCTACAATAATATAAGATAGTTTTGATTAAAAACAAATATAGTTTTCTTAACCATTTCTGATGAAAGTGGCAATAATTTTCTACAAAGATTTACATTTATGAGTATTTGTTTATATGAAAATGGGCAACAATTAATGGCTCATTATAACAATATTTTAAGACCCATTAAGTAATACCCTATTATTATTTGTTTGCATTATAACCATAAAAATTTCATTTGAAACAATTTAAATCTCTTGAAGTGTAATTAAATAGTGTAATACTCAATAAAATATGAATATTCCCCTGGAATTTGTAGGACAAACAAGCCACAAATTTGGCTTCTAATTCAAAGACGTTAATATGGTTCTTTTACGCTTCAGTTTTCTCGCACAAGGAAATCAAGCATGGGGCTGGGTGATAAATCTCCTCCAGTATTTCTGGCCGAATTACCTCATTGCGCAGCAGATCTCCGCTGCTCAGATGTGTGAATCCGTATTTTTCCACAATTTTGGCGCATTGAGTGCCCTTGCCGCAGCCGGGTCCGCCCAAGATCCAGATGATGGGAATATCAGTCTGCAAGAGGGGAGACATAACCAGGTTAGTACACTCACAACATTAAAAGCCAATCAACAATTGCAGCCGGAGTTAGCCGGAGTTAGTGGTTCACTGAGACGCAAGCTTAGTTGGGTTAGGACGCTAGGATTTTGGATTTTTATAATCGAAGGTCTAAATATTGGTGGTGTTGAAGCAGCGGCCAGACAGAACATGCCATATACATCAAGTAATACACCGGGGACATCCATCGACTTGGGGGCTACTTACAGCGGCTCCTTGTGCCCTGCGGAGCTCCTCGGCCTTGAGTTTCTGTTCGGCCTCCTTCTTCATGGCCATTTGGTGACACATAAATAACTACACAATCGAGACAGTTGTTTGGGGATGGTTAGATATCTCTGAGTTATAGTGTTATTGAACTATATTCGAGATGATTTTGTTTGCTCATGGATTAGTATGTAGTTATTAGTATTTTGGGCAAGTTGCCAGCACGAAAATGTGGAATATGTATGTAATAGAAGATCTTACATTGGCCGTGACTTTGATCTTGAACCCAAATCACTGGCTAACAGCTTCCATTGTGGAGCCCATTTTAATCAATCCAATTAGCACCTCATCCCCCTAGCGCCAATGGTAGAAATTCTCAATTACTATAAACAATTGAAACGCGCCACGCTCTGGCATATATAGATATATTCTATATTATATGTATAGTATATCCCCGCCGAAATCTGCCTGTTCCGCATTGTCGCACCCAGAGATATTTTGAGGGGGAGAACACACAACAAAATAATACAATCAGACAAACAAAATGAATGAATTTTGGCAGCTCGATAATACGCAGGTTGTTTCAATAACACCTTTGCCTCATGTGCGGGCCACATATATATATTTAGTCTGTTTTCAGATTCCCCATCGACGATCACTGGCTGGCTTTTCTCTCAGCACATTTCCACGCATCCAACTAATCGTTGCGTGCGAGAATTTATGATTCCGTAGCATCATTTACGTAATTGGGTGATCTATTCAAAGTAGTTCAGTGACTTTTCAATGTCATTTCCAAGGATACACCTTGCCAGGGTCGTGGTCCTCAATAATTCATTCATAGTGGTCTCCCACTAGCAGATGTCCACATTCCCGGGTAGTTAGTTTTAATTATAGTTATAATACCTTTAGCTATTCACAACACATGCGTTCTTCTCAAACGGAACTGGAAAACTAATTTGCTATCAGAGGGAGGCTTGGAGTTCGGATCTTTCTCTTAAAAGCCTTTGTTGGGGCTTCTTTGTTTTGACAATTTAATAATGCGACACGACGCGACGCCTCTTAGCCAAAACCGGCATGACTGTCTAGTTCGGGTAGCGCCAATAAACACATTTTAACTGCTTTTGGCGACGAAGACTGCTCCAACTGGCTAATGAATCAAGCCCCGCCAGAAATTCCTGTGTGTCGGGGCGAAGTGGTCATAAATTTATGCAAATCGGGGATTTTGACGTCAAAATTCGCCGGTTGCTTGGAATGTGAAATTCGGTTTAGAGCCATTTGAGTTGCTAATTTGTTGGTTGGGTTGTTTTGTGGGATTTTGCCTGGAATTTCACAGACGCGTAATCATCGGATTTATACCAGAACCGCTTGGGGAGCACACTATAAACACAAACAGCTGACGGGGAGCTTGAGCCCGATGGCTACCCCACGTCCCCCCCAAGACCATCTTACGGCAAGGTCAAGTGTAGTGCTCGAGTGGCTCAAGGTCGCTGGGGGGTTCTAATTTGGAGAAATAGAGCGCCGCTAGTGTCGCACTGCCAGTGAGATTTAATCAAAGTGAAACTAACCCAGTGACTAATAAAAATAAATTAAGCAAGTAATCAAAGCAAAAAAAAAAAAAACAAAGGAAAGGAAAACTAGGCACAAATCAGAGACAGCAGCACGCAACCCACACTCACCATGATGATGTATACTAGATGTATTCGCTGCTTCTGCGGGCCTTTGGATGAAGAAATTGCGCGATTTTCCGTCTAGTGTTGTGCTCGATTTTTCGCAAGTGGCCAAAACAGTTCCGTTTTATCCACCACCGCCGTGCTCCGTGCCGAGTGCTGCGTCTGTTGAGAGTGAATCGGAATCCGAATCTGAATCCGAATCGATGTATCTGAATCTGAATGAAAAGGCTTTCGCTCCGGAACGCTATGGTTCGGACGGTTTCGGCTAACGGTTTCAGTACGCGCAGTGCGGCGCAGCTCAAGCTTTGGCGCAAAGCTTTTCTGACCTAGCGAGCTTTCGATTTTGGCTACCCTTTTGTAGATATAGTGACAAGCTTTTCATTGGGATTCCCACTTGATTTAAATGTCTCAGGGTTCGGGTGGAGGAGGCAAATTTATCGACCAATTTTGATCTGCTTGCGATTCTTCACCAGATTGTCCATGTGTTCGCTGATTACTTCGAAAACTTGGTCGGGCTCTTCCTCACCATTCACTTGCAGGGTAATTAGGGCGTAGTTTGTTAATATTGGTTGGGTGGAGGCCCTGTGCTCGGCCACACTAGCCCTACCAACAGAGCCTGCTCTAGAAGTCCGTCGACTGGTTATATCCTCTTGCACATCCAGCGCAACTATCAAGTCGGGGGTCCCTATGCGATGCTCTAGGATTTCAGCTTCATCGAAGTTGGTTGGGTAACTGGATATGAAATATATTTTTAATGAAAAGATTTGCACTAGTTCTTCTTACTTACCCATCGATAACGAGTCCCTTCAGTCCTCCTCGATTACCCATTAATTCCTTTTCGATTAGAGGCACCATCTCTTCCAAGGGAATTTCTTGTCCTGTCAACCGCATCTGTTGAAACTTCTTTCCAGCTGCCGTGTGGGTATCTATCTGGTTAGGGAACAAGTCTAGCCTTAGATGCATAAACTATTGGATTCGACTCACCTCTATGTCAACCAGGAACGTCGGATCGATGTGCTTAAAGCCATATTTCCCGGCTATCTTCTCCGACTGCGTTCCTTTCCCGCTGCAGGGAGCCCCAATCACCCAAACCACTGGGATGTTCTGTAACACATATCATTTTTAAATACTTTGGTACAAATGTGTTTATTTATGAACTTACCATGGCCGGGCACTAATGAAGCTTATAAATATGGGATTGGAAACCAAATATATTTTTGAAAAGGTGCCGAAATATTTTTTGATAGATATAGCATGCTCATTTACTGATTTTCTGATGATTGTTTGATTTTTCTGATAAACATAATAATTTTCCCCAGTTCACATGGTTTCCAAATAATCACACGTACAATTTATGGACGGAAAACATCCGCCAGATCGACAATCATCAGCTAATAAAGTACAAGAAGGCCTGAATCTGTTTGGATTCGCTAACGGATATGACGAGCAACTGGGCGGTGTTAACGTGTTGTTGACTTTGGATTGCGAAGATCTCATCGTGGGTGGGAAATGACGCCTGCGGTGGTAAGATGATCACATTAAAAGTGGGGCCTTTGGGGGATCGCTTCTTGAAGCCCTCGTTATGGAGGTGCAAATCAAAGGTAATCTGGAGGGAGGAGTCTACAGAGCTAGCGTCCCTAGAGTAGTTTTTTGTATCCAGCCTAACAATATCAAATTTTTGAAAGACCTCTTGGAATTTCGCATATGGGGATTCCATTTGCAGCTGGTCTACTAGACTGCCGCCTGTGAAAGCCATTCTTCCCCTTTTATTGGCCGGTTGTCCCATTGGCTCCGATTTCGCTCGGCGTTTTCGGGTGTCAAAGTGGAAATCCACTGGAGCTTCTTCTGTGGCTGATTCCAAGGAGGACTGGGTTTTCTGTTCCATAACAAGCTTTTTGATATCCTCCATTTGCTTTTCAGCCACTGCAAAGTGAGGAGATTCCTTAATATTCGAAGGTACTGGCTGATTCCCAAGTCGTTCCTTTAGCAAGGCCCAGACGCAGTCAGAACTGGTAATGGTAACTGGCGTCTCTTGAACCACTTGATGCCGGACAACTATATAGCCAGCTCGGGAGAGGGCAGAGTAAACCAGGTAATGGGTAAACCTTTCACTTTCCGATTCTCCAAGGAGTAGGACATAGGCTTGCTCTATGGAAACTATGGTTCCACAATACTCCAGCTGCAGGCGACCCTGTAAATGGCTTTATGTTAGTCTGGTTGAACCACTGGTGTAGCTTTGTATTATCTTACCAACTCGAGCAGGAACAAGGCCTCGTAATACTCCAAACAGAGTTTACCCTGCCTACCATGGCCAAAGTTCTCGAACTTTCCATCCTTGCGAAGGACCTCTGCAACCTGTTGCTCACTATTCCAGGTGGCTAAAGCCCTTCCCCCCAATCTTTCGATGCGGGGAACAGATAGCTGGGCTTTTAGAGCGTCTGCAATGCAATTAACATACTTTAATAGGGTTTTGTTGCTACTTTAATTCATAATTCACAGTTTACCTAGCGCCCCGTGCAGTTCCTCGAGTTCAGCCTGGCTGCCCTCATTTTGTGTGCGCTTTAGGCCGCCGGCAGGGACCTCAAACTCCTTGTGCCGAAGCTGTATAAGCTCTTTAGGACTAAAATATCTCTTAATTAATAAAATTCCATCTGTTTTTATAAGAAAACTACCTTAAATACGAAGTTTTAGGCTGAATTTCTACAATTTCCGCTGGGTCCATGTTTGTAAATATATGGGTTAAGCTTTTGCATATATATCGATAGTTTTAAGCTTTTTTTCGTGAGGTGGGAAGTCAGACCAATTAAATTTAACCAGTTGGCAGGCCCAGTTTCCGTTACAGGTTAGTAGTGGCGCCAAATTCAAATTGAAATCAAGCTTATAAGATATTTATAAAAAAAAACAATTCCCACAACAATTGCGTCTCTATTTATAAATCTTTATTCTTTGTATAATTGTAGTTTTGTTAGTTTCGCATAACATACGCTTAACATTTTTGCTCTTTGCATGCAATTGGAGCTTGTTGAAATCTCGAACTCGTTTTAATTGATGTCATATAACATTTTACACCTTGAAAATACACTTAACGTTAGATTTATGAACATTTAATACACCACATTGTTGCTTTCCTTTAACTCGTATGCTGTTAACATTTCCGTTCAATTAGCATTTGCCTAATTCAATTATTTTTTCCATTTTCAACTTCACGTATATTGCAGGATATTTCTAGTTGGCTTCTCTTTGTTTCATTGCGAACTGTTACATTAAACTCTGAACAACGGAAACGGAACACACGTTTCGCTGTTGTAAAAACTTAAATACAAAAATTATACACTATAACTAACCATACAACTTATAACTTATCTATATGTTCGCGTCGCCCGTGTGTCTTGTATAAACAGTTTCTCCTCCTCATAGTATTTGTCGCTTCGCTTCTCCACCTGCCTCTCTATTAATTTTATATTTTGTCCTCGATTTAATGCCATTAAATTGTTAACATTGTTCACCACATTTGTATAATACATGTGTACACATATATACGTAAATGCTTTAGTTATTACCATCTACATATATATATATATTTATATTTTTATATCTTTATATCTGATTTGAATGCGCAACGCGTTAAGGTAATATTTTATCTGCCTGCTGATAGGTTTACCACCCCGATCCACCTCCTCGTCGCACGGAAATAAAACGGAATCGGGTAAAAACAGTCCGGGGAGATTAAAAACACTACGCTACTCTGGCTCCAAGGGATTACATTTATATCTACACCTACATATGTACAGGACCGCTCAGACTATGGGTAGGTTCGAGGATGTGGACCCCGGCTTGCCGCCCTTCACCAGGCACGACTGCGAGTTGTTGCCCATGCTAGACCCGTCCAGGCTGTCCAGGTCCAGCGCGGTGTCTATCATGGTGGTGTCGTGCAGCATTCGCAGCCTCTCCGCCGACTTCACCTGCTCGGCTCCGTCGCCGTGCGACTTCCGCTGGGTGTGGGCGGAGGCCACGAAGGAGGCGCTCACCGGATCGTCCAGGTCGAGATCGTCGCAGAGCAGCGTGGACGACAGGACATTGTTAGCCGGATCCCGCTGTTGATTCTGCTGCTGTTGTCGTTCGTCAATGACGTTGGAGTAGACATGGAGATTAGCATCTGCGGGAGGGGCCGGCACATTGATGTACATGCTCTCCGTTTTTCCGGACATGGCCGCCGCCAGCAAAGCTGCACCGGCGGAGGGTTTGCCGTTGGAGGTGGTTGCTCCGTCTCCGGCCACTGGGGCACTGCTGTTGACCAGCGCCGCCTCGAAGTCCGCATCGAAGAGGTTGCTATAGCTTCCGCTGCGGTTACGCATTTCGCGGGCCTTGCTGGAGGCAATGGCGGCCACGGCGGCCACCACTTCCGGACTGCCCACCACAACCACGTCCGGGTCGTCCAGCTCGTCCTCGCTGCTGGTCGTGACCAGCTGGTTCTCGTAGCTCTGCTCCTGGCGCTGTTTGTGGTGGCGATGGTGGCGGTACTGGCGCGCCTGGGTGGCCGTTTGCTGGGTGTAAGCCGGAATGTCCATCTGGGCCAGGGGGATCTCGTTGTCCACCAGCTGAGCTAGACTATTGGAATTACCTGTGTGGCGGGAGAGAGGGGAGCGGATTAGTGAATTGGAATAAATTCGGTCTGCTGTATGTTTAATTAATGCAATGTAAATTATTCAACTGCTCATTACAACAAATTTGCCAACTAATTTAAAATTCGAATTTCAATTTGGAGCATTTCTATCTTGTGGTTGGAATGCTCGCTTTGATGATTCGGTTTTTGTTTTGTTTTTGTTTGAGTTTGGCTGTTCGGTGGTTGAATGAAAATAAAAACTATCTGAATATGCAAATTAATAAACAAATGCTGGAAAAGAGGGCGCAAATTAAATCTGTAATTTAATTAAAAGTAGGCTTGTCAGCTCGGACAAGTACACGTGTAATTGAATCGCTAACATCGCAGCATGTCCAGCTCCTTCCGGACATGGGTTGATACGGGGGGATACGCCGTGTGGATGGGCGTATGGGGATGGGGAAAATCAACTTAATTGGAAACTCATCAGTTAAGCTCTTAAACCAATAAAGCAACAATAACAGCCGAAGCGACCGGCTGACAAAATAAAGACCCAAAATAGGCGCTAATTAATGGAATTCAGTGTCGGGTGCCAATTGAACAATTTAAAGCATGCTTTCAAAATGTCGTGATCACAATTAGTAGAAGATGGTTGCCAATAAAAAAAATAGCTAAATACCATATTAAACTTTGACTTTGGTCTGTGTGTTCATTGGATGTGGGTGTGTACTTCTTTTGATGGGCAAAATAAGGATACTTGGCAGCTACTCAATCATAAGCTCATGTAAACTCAAATGAAAACTCCAAAGCGTTGGTCTAATTTCTGGTTATTTCTGTTATTTTCGTGTACAATATACAACAATTAAAATGTTTTTGGCATTACAAGAGAGAGAACTCACCCAATTAAGGCTTAAAATGCATTTTTACTCTAGTCTTAAGCGGCCCTCGACAACTTTCGCTCAATTGCAGTTTTTGTTTTGGTCATTTTTGAGTTTGTGGTTTAGTTAGTTTCGCAAAAGGGTTACATATACAAGTTCGTATGTGTTTTGTTAGTTTTCCACACAGTCAGTTGAAAGATACAGAAAGAGTTTCACATTAGTGTGCGATAAATCAAGAGGTTGTAGGTCAATATCGGGGCAAAATCAAACTAAAAATGGGCGGAAGAAGCTTCAAGCCCAGGCCTCCGGGCCATCAACATCAAGTGTGTGTTCGGGGTGGGTGGTTCGGGGTTATGCATATATTTGAATGATTCCAATATTAGTCCAGGATCGCGAACGCAAGTAGGTCTCGCGCCCTGCCTGAAACATCGGGGGTTAGTTCTTACATATAGTTATAGATCTGATGACGATCCCCGTTCTCATACAGATCAGTTCAGATCAGATCAATTTTGAACATACACTAGAGTACACATTATTGCCCAACATTTAACCATACATATTGTGTATATATATATATAAGTATATAAATTGCTTTTGCATCGCTCAACACTCGCTTTGACTCGAAATACATTGTCATATATATAATATATACTTTTAACTACCTATAACCTCGCGCCAATGCAATTTAATCATAAAAGGAACTCATAATATTGTTAATGCTCAAGATTTAAAGCCTTTGGATATTTCTTTAAGCTGGCTTATTAACTAACACGCTTTACGATTTTCACCTCCCCCCCAAAAATCTTCTGTCTTCTGAGAAATTTTTTCGGTTTTGTTCTTCAACTATTACAACTATGTATAAATATTCAATTTCATTTCAATTTCAATAACGCATTCATTTATTGCTAATTATTTGCAGCAGTCACTTGGCAATGTTCCAATATTCCACGGTTAAGACATATTTCGGTATTCGGTATTCTGTATTCGATCCATATAGATTCGATTGCAACAATATTTGTTTTTCTGTATTCCGTTTAATAGTTAAAAATGACTCCTTAACACCGATACATAGTTTATCAAATTTTTATTGAATTGCATCATGTTTGGTTTTATGTTTACATTTAATTTTAATTTTAATTTAAATTTTCATTGTAAAAATGAAAAAAGTCCTAACAAAATGTTGCTTTGATAAATGGCAGTTATTTTGGCTCATTAAGTGTTTGCTAATTTCCCGTGTTCTTCTAATTGCTTCTAATCTATGTATGTACCTCGGTTCGGTTCCCGACATCTCAACAAAAGATTCCAAGTGACTGCGATCTTTAGAGGCCACTCAGCCGGAGGGAATCTCACAGGATTCCCAAAACAGAAAGTAACAACGGAAAACTTAAGCATACTACTACGAGGCGAAAAGATCAAACAACATGCTTGGTTGGGGATGTTGGTTTACTGGTTACTGGTTACTGGTTTAGTAGGTTGCTTGGTTGGTTAGTCGGTTGGTTCACTTTTTTGGAGGTGGCGGCGCTGGGACGTAGACCAAGGTGGATACACATATACATGGGTTACTTAATGGCCCCGGCGCCGAGGCTCCCCTGTTGCCGGTTGCAAGCCATGGCAGCAGAAGAGACCCGGCGCACCTAGCCTGGGAAACAGGTGCTATATAAACGCAAAAGTTTCTATGAACCAAGTTTTCTGGGGGGGCAAGTTCAGGTGGGCAGGGGCAGGGACTGGAGCAGGGGCATGGGCTGGGGCAAACATTCAAACAAAAATTATACAATTTCGACTTCTACAAAGGGGTGCAAACATAAATTCCAAATAGCAGTTACTTTCCAACTAACATCTAAGCGCATCATCTAAGCGTGGAAGCCAAGTGCCTCAATCAGACTGTGATAGATTCCCTCAAAGTTAGAATCAAGGCTGCAAACTTTTCGTTGTTCTCCAGTTGTTCGCAAAAAGCCAATATTTTATGTTCTACTTTTCTGGGTTACAGGCTCAACTGAACAAACAAGCAATTGTTATCCTGATTTTTAAATGCCACTCGGCACACAAATGGCAGCAATTTGCACAATAATAATTATTATAATTGGCTCTAGATTAGGCGTCCGATAAAGTAAATTAATTGCTTTTGAATTCATGAAAAAATATCCAATTCCGAACCATTGTATAATAGGTTCGATTCAAACAGCTTTTGCAGCCCTGATTATAAGGCAAGTTCTAAACTCTTATAGTAGAATAGAAACAATTTTAATGAGACTACCTCTGAGCAGAGGTCCTAAATCAAATCCTTGCTTTTTAGCAGAAGCCTGGAAGCAGTAGGAAATGGGCTGGCTGAAGCCCCACCGCCTATGTACAGCGCCTAACAACCCATCGAGGAGTAACTGGAAGCGGAAATGGAGCAGGTGATGGCTCCCAGAGCTACGGACAGAGCTACGGCTACGGACTGCTGCTGCGTACTATGACGAGTCGCTGCCCGCCGCATCCTCGATGATCGAATTGAGATCGATGTTAAATGAGTACTCGTAGAGATTCGAGTAGCGGTCGCGCTCCTTCCACGGCGACCGGTGATTCATATAAAGATTTCGTTTACTAACACGAAAGATCTGGCTGTCCTTGATCGACTGATCGTCGTCGCAGGGTTCACCGCCACCGCCAAAGTCGCACTCGCGAATGGTGAGCCGATTGGTCGGGGACTTTAGCTCGAACATCACCTCCTGGTGCTTGTACGGCTTCCGCATGGGCAGCGGCTGGTAGCCGGCGATGTTGACCTTTTGCGAGTCCACTGACTGGGTCGACTGGCGGCGCATACCGCGCGCCTGCTTCGGGAACGGGTAGTTGCGCATCAGGTTGGAGTCGGTGCTGCGTTGCGGGGAGTAGTACTTGAAGTCCGTGGGCGCCGGCGGCTGGGGCGCCGATGTGTGAATGGTGGTCAGTGTGCTGTTGCTGGCCGAGACAGCTCCGCTGCCCTGCAGCTGCAGCGTCGACGGTCGTCGCGGCGCCAGAGGCGGGGGAGCCGTCGCCAAGGAGGCGGACACCGATGTGGGTGCTGTTGTGGACGAGGAGGATCCACCTCCGCCACCGCCGCCTCCACTGGCGCCGGAAGCCACGGCCGCTGCGGCTGCTGCCACGCTGCCAATGGCGGTGGTCTGCTGGGCGTGCACGTGATGGTGCAGCAGCGGCAGCGGCGAGTGGCGCACATCGTCGTACGACGGCGTCAGCGGCAGGTGCAGCGAGCGCTTCAGGTTCAGCCGGTAGGAGGAGGAGGTGGCCGGCGAGCGGAGCAGCGAGGGGGAGTGCGGCCCCACGCCGGACCCCTCGTGGTGCTGCTGTTGCTGCATCTGCAGCTCGGCGGCCACCAGCTGCTGCTTGAGATGGTGGTGCTGCTTGAGCTGCTTGTGCTTGTTGGCCTTGAACTGGTGCTGGGCGCTGGCGGGCAGCAGGGTCTGGAGGGAGCAGCGCTGCTGGTGCTGCTTGCGGGACTTACCGTTTTGGACGAGGTCGTAGCTGGGCGGCGGATGCTCGAAGCCGTTCCCATGGCCGTTGGCGGCACCTCCATTGCCCTCCATTGTCGAGGAGGAGGGATTGGACTGGTCGTTGTTTGTAGTTGGTGTGATTGTGGTGTTGTGTATTTGGTTGGAGTAGTAGTAGTAGTAGTTACCAAAAAGAACATTGCATAGAACACAAAAAGAAGAAATTGAAAATACAGATATGTCAAAATGATGTGCACAAAAGTTCATCGTAAGATCGTAAGAGATTCGATTAATAAGGAGATCAAGCAAGCAGAGTGCCCAGACATTTAGATTTCTTTTGAGGTGAAAGGGTGCGCTTGGGTTAGGTCGGTGTGGCTCTCGGGACTCGGTGACTTACCTCGTCGTAGAAGCGCGGCTTCAGCTCTGCGCCCCCTATGCTGATGCCTCCGCCGGCACCCCCGATCCCGCCCGCACCTCCGCCCATCATGGGCTGCGAGGTGGTGACCATGTGCGAGGCACTCAGCACGTCGCTCAGGGCATGCCGGGGACTCGACTGGTGCTGCATCTGCTGGATGAACTCGTCGGTGGCGATGCCGCGTCTGCAGAGAATCCAAGGTATACTTTTGGTCTCAGCTCTTGGGACTCTCCAGCTACTCACCTGTCGATCAGCGAGGGCGTCATGGGTCCGCACAGTATGTGACAGCAGTTCAGGCAGATGTTGCCCCGCGAATAGGGATTTTGGGTGCGGGGTCCACCTTTGGAGGAGAAGGATCCCTTGAGCTGTTGGTGAGAGATAGCTTATCAGGATTAGTTACTGTATTACTAGAAGGAGCATCTTCGCTTGCTGTCTTATAATCCTTATACTCACATCCTCGTTGGTTGTCTGATCGCTCGTCGTCAGATAGGTGTGGAAGCCGGCCAGGCCGATCACGGACCATATCGAGAAGAAGCAAATAAACACAACAATCACAGTGAAGGGCGCCTTCTTGATTACTTCGAAGACCTCCTGCTCGGTTTTCATTACTGGGGAACAATAAGAACACATATAACTCATCCTGGACAGAATTGGGCATCCCAGACTGCTCTCTACTCACATAAAACTAAATGCGTCACAGAGCACGAGAATATAAATACAGCTAAAAATGCCAATGAGACTAGAAACAAATAAAAGAACCGATAGTTCCGCTTTCCCACGCAGTTTCCCACCTGAAAGTGAAAATGAAAAGAGAGACAATCGTTAACGGGGTTATGTGGCCATAAAGCCACAAGCCAGCCCGGAAATAAAGTCAGTTAACAAATCTTTGTTCCCCCCCTAACATAATAAGGTTAATTGCATTTTCACCCAATGTGTGGCAACACGAACATCACGACCCCAAAATGCCTTCATTCCACCCGCTATTCGAAAACCCTTTTAAATTCGTCCAAGCCCCTCCCAAAAAAAATAAGGACCAAGACGACCTTGAAGCCGCCAACAGAGATTGGGTGGTGCTTTCGCTCCTTCGGGGTTTAAATTACGCCCAAGCTCAAGTAAATGAAAAAGGACGATGGCAAAGGCATGACAGTACCACTGAAAGGAGGCGACTTTCGTGAGGACTAGCCAGCAAGGGTAATACTCTAGGTATTTTATTTCCAGAGGGTTATTTTTTATTATTTCTCATAAAATTTTAGTTGTTGACCTTCTTAAAGTCCAACCATCTCCAGGAAATAAGTGATTAGTTAAGACCAGTCCAAAAAAAAGCTCCCAAAGCCTATTATCCTACCAGGATAAGTGTATGTGTCAGTATAGTGTTTTTTTTTTTTTGTTAGTCTTGATGCTGCCACATCTTGTTGCATCAGCGTGTGGCTCGAGGGGAATCCTCTCTCTCAAAAAAAAAAGAAGTGAAAAAAAAATACAGAAAGCCGGGAAAGGGAAAGGATTGGAAGGAGTCCGAGTGCGCTTTTTTGAACGTGACGTGCGGCTTGCTGGTCTGAAATTATTTTTGCTAAAAAATTAGCAACCTCAGCGGTTGCCGCTGGAATTGGGTTAAAGTCAGCTCGCCCCAACAAGCTGCAAGCTACAGGCGGCAGGTTGCAAGTTTGGTTTTTGTGGCCCACTTTCCGCCGCCGCCTCCGCCTAATGCGGTGCGCTCGGCTCAATGTCATCCAGTTTGGAGGATAGTTGGATGGATGGATGGGTGATGGGCATTGGGGACATGCCACCGAGTGACTGCTGGGTAGGTGATTAAAATTGCGCTAACGAGGCGCCGCCTCCTCGCAGTCAAGGACCCGAACCCGGCCAGGATACTCACCCAGGGACAGTGGTGATCGAATCGGTCCACGCAGTTGTCGCACAAGCTGCAGTGCGAGGCCCTCGGCGGCCGGAAGATTTTGCAGGTGAAGCAGTATTTCAGCTTGACCGTCTGTCCTTTGACGAGGACCTCCTTGGTCCTCGGTGGCGGTCGATATGTGGGGCTGTTCAACGAGTTTGGCACCTCTGTTGAGTTGAAACCAGTGCCGCAGGACCCACAGGAGCCACATGAGCCGCATAGGAAGTGCAGCATCAGCATTAGCAGGATCGACAGGACGATGGCAGGAGCGTTGTTGACACGGTAGGAGCAGCGGAGGAGAGAGAGAGCAAAAGTTTTCTCATTTTAAATATTTTATACAAAGGCAACAACAGCAACTCATTAGTGAGCGTTCGCTTTGATGATTTTTATGCGGATATGAAATTTTTTTCGCCAGCGCATTTTATTCTATACTTTTATTTTTTTTCTTATTTTTTTTTTTTCATTCTATGTCATGCCACGCTCATTACTTTTTACGTTACGTGTTCCTCTGCGTTTTCCCACCACCCTGAGCCACCCAACCGCCGAGCCACCCAACCGCTGAGCCACCCAGCCACACACAAACTTAATGAAGTGAAAACAAATATATACGAATGGCTGGTGTGGCTGTGTGTTTGCAAGGGCGGGTGTTTGTCTGGGGGTGTGGCATCACGCAGAGGAGCCAAATGAGAATGAGAACGAGAAGGATATTCGCGTTCTCAGGCAACAGGCAAACGACCTTGGCCACATTTCCTTTTCCTTTTTGGGTGTGGAGGTAGTGGAAGTGGACGGCCTGCAAGGATAACGTACCAATTTGCTTTTCGATATAGGCGGCCTCATCATTTGAGGCTCGCGGTATGACGCCCGGATCCGTGAAGGTTGTGCGCAGCAAGGAGCTCATCGTGAAGAAGTAGAGAACCGCTCCCACAATGGGAATGACCGGATTGATGCGCTCCGCCAGGAATGGGCAGCTGAAATGAAATGAAAGGGAGGAGTATATCATTAATATAATGGGGTTCTGTCTTTGCGGCAACATCTGGCCATGATTTGGTTTTCATATTGTTTCCAATAAGTTACAGTTCGATGATCAAACTTTGCGTCAACTACACTTTGATTTAATGGGCTTCCAATTAGCGATTTAACGCCTCGTACTTAACTGCGATTGAGACCTAATTCCCAACATCAAGGGCTCGTCATGGATCCCGCATTCATGGACTGCGAGCCTCCTCTGTGATTTGGCAGTGCCCCAAATGTGGGTGCTCACTCCCCTGAAATGTAACATGAACGCGTGTCCCAGAGGCCTGTCAGTGGCGAGGGAGGCCCTGGCCGGCATTGTTACTTAATGCCCGATGCGTGCCAGCGATTTGTGAATAGCAGGAGCATCCATCCTGCATTCAGAATCCAACTTTCACTTGCTGTCAACTCACAAAGGACCCGGAGAGCTCAGTGACAATTATGTGTGACAAGTCCCTGGGGCGGGGCGGATGGGCACAGCCATATAGGCATCATTATTTCGGGGGACAGTCAGCAGAACCGACCGAAAATAGTTAAATACATTTGTCATGACAACACCGAAGCCGAAGCCGGTTTCCCCCTGGCCCCAGAGCCAAGGCTTAAATAGGAATGCATTCAAAAAATGCTTTTCAGCATTCAGCTGGCAAATCGCTGACAATGCCATAGAAATGGAAAATAGAAAATAGAAAATGGGAAAAGGAAGAGCGGGCCCCGAATGCATTGTGCTACCTTTTAGCGATTTGCATTGCCGGGGAGCGTCGAACGAAACACAATTTGAGTTTCCCACACATCCCCAGGCAGCCTACAGATAAAGAATCTCTGGGAATACAAAACTGAAATATAGAAGATTTGATTACCTTTTAGGGGATTTTAAAAAATACAGATAGTTTCCTTAATTTTTTCACCAAAAAAAACCTCTACTTTATGAATATATTTGTATTGAAAATAAAGTAGATTTTTGGCCTGTGCATGTCGGAGGATGTGTGCCGGAATAACTGTGCGAACACTCAAAGGCATTGCAGATATTGTAATGCCCATCTATAGTGCGGGCGCCTTGCCTCGTGTATCCTATATCCTATATCCTGGCATCACGGCCCCTGCCTCCCGGCTTCCACTCGACTGTGCGCTAATGTAAAGCAAGCAATGAAAATAAAATCGCGCTGGAGCCGCTTTTCAGCGGCGAATAAATTTGGATCGCAGTAGGAGCCAGCTGTACGTACAAGCTACCATCCAGGCGGTTCTTGGGCATGGGAATTTCAATTTCTTTGTGGCAGAAGCACAGCCACACATGCCCTGCATCCCTGCATCCACTTGAACCACCCACCTACGGGTGGTGCTGAAATGATTTCGTGCAGAAAATGTTGAGCATAATTTTGTCTAATCGCGCTGTCAGTGGTGAATGGGCTGCAGCTTTAACATCCTGTTTCGTTTCTATTTGCACTACGTGACGTATGCGTTATTTCGGCAATGCCCACGTGCAACTAAATTGAATCCAGTTTAACGTTTGTGGGTTTTCCATATCCCACATACAGACAGCAGCCCGCCACGCCACAGCCCACAGCCTGCCTCTCAGATGTTTATTTAGTTTCAATACGGACCAAATCGGGCGGACGTTATTATTATTATTGGGGCCACGTGATGGGGTGCCTCGCAAACTTTCAAAGGGAACTTCACTTTCCCTCCTTTGGGGCGAACAGTTTCCAATTGAAGGAACTGCACTTTTTTCCCAGTTCTATAATCCTCTTTTACAAAGAAACAGAAAACCTTTTTGTGACGACTTATTTTTCCCCAAAAAAAAAAGAACTTAGAGTATGTCAGCTACCCAGGAGAAGTTCCTTCATATTCATTATTTAAAACTTTAAATTTCCATTAAAGGACATCAAAGTTTAATAGGCGAGTGTGGGCCATGCCAGCCAATCGCCATGTAATCAGGAAATGGAAATGTGGGTCGGATGAGCAAATTCGAAATGAAAATTTTGTTTTAAATAGGACCCTCGCAGTGGTGGGGTTAAAATTCCTGTGGCCTGCCACGGCCGGAGAGCCGAGGACATATTTGAATGCCACAGGGCAATCGGACAGATTGACAAATCAAAAGCTGAAACTATTTGTCTCCCCTCGGATAGCCGTAATTCAAGGGATTTCCATTTCCAGTTGGAGGGAAAAAGTAGCCAGTCAGCCAGCCAGCCAGCAGCTTGAGCGAAGGAGGCATCCTTTGCCAGACAAAGCATAACGCATACGCCACGTTGCACAGCAATAATTACATGCCATTGGATACGGATGGGCTGGGACGGATGAGAGGATGGGATGCCGGGATAGACAGAATGAAATCGGACCCGGACCCGGACTCGGACACGACCTGCACCCGCTGAAATCCGAGAGGAGACCATTAATGTGGGCGTAATTGGAAATCAAGCATGAGCCAGGTGGGGCGGGGTGCTCCGGATGGGGTTCCCGGGCAATGCTTAATTAGCAACGTATACATTTTGCACAATGCAACTAAAAAAGGACACGGCAAGAAAATCTGAAAACCCAATGGATGCAGTTTGAACATGTAGGTAGATGTACCTTTTCGGATTAGAACACTAATTAGGTCCCATAATTTAAATAGAAACTAGAATAGTCTAAAGTATCCAGGACCCACCTTTGTCCTGCTTTCTTTTTTCTCAGTGCCCTTTGGACAAATGGAGGATAATGACAACAGGACGAATACTTACTCAAAGGCAAAGAAGAGCGCACTGGTGCCGGTGATCAGGATGCACGTCAAGTAGAAGACGCCCGTGTGGGGTGCGGACATTAGCAATCCATCGCAGTAGAATTTATTGCGTCCGGCAAACAGTTCCCATTTGCGTGTGACGCGCTGGTTTGGTGCCATGTTACTGCAACAACAGCAGCACAGCAGATTCATCGGGGCGGTCCTGGGTCCTGGGGAATGGGTTGGGGATACGGTTGGGTGTGGACGCTCAGGGTTGGGTCCTGTTTCTTCCTCGGGTTTCTTCCTCTGTGCCTTCTCCTTGACAGTGCTGACTGTGACAGCGATGACGGGACTGCTGCTGATGTGTTGGCTGGTTGTGGGGGTGTTCTTTGGGTGGAGATGGTGGTGCTAGTGTTGGTGGTGGTGGTGGTGCTGGTGATGTGATGGTGGGTTGAATGCTGTTTTGCAGGCGACAGTTCACCCGGCTGCAGTTAACGAAATTATGCCGTTTTCCTGGGGTCCCCTGACAGGGTCCTGTGCCCCCTCTCTCCTCTCGCACTCTTGCTCTCCTCGCTCCACGTTCTCCTCCTGTCACAGGGACGTGTTCATGTGTAGCTGTTGCAATGCCTGCGGCACGCAAAACCGACTACCACAAGATGCCTTCTGCTTCGGCTTCTGCTTCAGCTCCTGTTTGCTATTCGGTGGCTGGAATTTCATGCACACCACCGCAAAGGATCTCCTTGAAGGGCCTAAAGTTTGCAACAATTTGCTGCACGTACCGGAAACTTTTAGGTCTAATACAATGCCAAGGCTCCAGGTGAGTTTTAATCAAAATTAATGCCAGCCCCTCTCGTGCTATCGTGTTCTTCCAAAAGCAATTTCGTCCACTTTGTTGCGTTGTCCACGGTCCGCGGCATCCACAGCCACATTGCGTTTCAATATGCTCCTTTTATTGCACTGAGCACGGGCCACGCCCCCGTCCCGAAAACGAGGCGCCTTTAATTAAAGCAGGACGGCTCTCATTTCCCTACAGCTGCCCGCCTGCCTGCCTACCGCCTGCCCGCCTTTTCAGTCCTCCGGAATGGGCGGGACACGCTGGACCACGTTTCGCGTTCTATACAGCAATTATTTGCTCGGCTTTGTTGATCCTGGCTGGCTGGCTGCTCCTGCTCCTGCTCTGAATCGGTGGCCCGTCCTTCGTCCTTTATGATTCAATTATTCGCTATTCGCTGCTGGCGCCACCGACGACTGTAGTTAAAATTGGCGTCGGCGTCGAATTGGTCGGGTTTGGTTTGAGTTTCAGTTTGAGTTTCAGTTCTGGCTGGGCACCGGCTTAGTTAAGTGCCAAGGAGGGGATGTCCTGCGGAGGAGAAGAATGAGAAAAGGAGTGAGCAACTGTGGAATTGCAAGCAAATATAATCATTAAGTTATTTTGATTAAGAACTTTTGTGCGGGCGCCGACAGGCGAGATAGCAAAGCGGAAAAGTTCCTTTGAAAGGATTCCTTTTCCTTCCTTTATGCCGGCTTTATTATCGAATTTTAATCGCATCGCCTGAGTATTGTCAGTTGGCCAAATGGCTAAATTTATAAGATAAATTTTATCACTCTATTTTTTATTACCGCAAAATCGAGGCATTATGGCTTTTCAGTTTTTTATTGAAATATTTTCGTATTTCATTTGATAGGTATTTTGATGGCCTTATAATCCTAATTGATTGCAAACCTATTTAGAAGATGAATATCCAAAAATACATCTGCTTAAGATTATTGAGATGTTTTCTAGTGGCTGTAAGCCTTCTTTACTATTTTTGATTAAATGAAATCCCCAAAATGTCTCATATATCTGCTTAAAATAAAGCTACTTAAGGATTAAGAACTAACACACAGCTGGTATTCAAATTATTCACAGCAGAAATGAGCTAATTCGCGGCTTTTTGGCAACTAATTGACGCTAATCAAGTTGCTCATACGCAGTGTGGGCCGCCACGGCGACAGGAAGTTATTTCTCTTTGGCGCCGCCTGGGATGCAGAACCAGAACCAGAACTAGAACCAGAACCCGTTATCTAAGCCAAACAGACGCGTAGGAAGGCAATAATTCAGCAGACACACACACCACTACAAACCGGCAATGGCACAAAAACAACGTTTTGCATTCGCATTCGCAATTTGCGTTAATTGGCCACACGCCGCCCATTTTAAAGGGTCCGTGTGGCAGGCAGATGCCGTGGAGGTTGCTTTTCTCAGGCGGTGGCAATGTTTATGCAAATCGTGTTGCAATTATACCAACGACTCTCCTAATACACTGCTGCACGGCCTGACAGCCAGCCAGCCATCCGATTATTTGCATTCATTTTGCATGAAAATGGTTAAACGCCAGCATTTAGGGTGGAGGTGGGAATGGGTTTCGGTACCCAATTACTGTTAACATTAACGGCAGCTGATGACATGCGCCAAGAAGTGCCAATTAAAGGCACACAAGCGCTGCTCTAGCTGTTCAATAAACTCATAAATTGCCTGAAATGACGCAAAGTACCACGGCAGCAGGCAGCAGTGGCCCGGCAGGGTCTCTGGCAAAACAATAACCATAAAGTAGCGACAGCAACAAAAACACTGAAAGAACAACAGCCGAGGAGGGCCAACTTTGAAGTGTGCCACTTCAACGCAAAATATGTAAATAAATGGCCACTTACGGCATACTTCTCTAGTGCTGTGAGGCAAAAGTGAAAGTGCAAGAGACCCTCTAGTATCGTCCAATATCTGGCAGTACACATATGTGGCATATATTATCAATATGCTGGGAGCAAAGCAAAACAAAGTCAACTATAAGCGTTATTATTATAATGCACCAAACTTAAATATGCAAAGTTTATGCAGCACAGCTCATGTATTCTCATCAGACTATCAGGCCCTAAACTTTAAGCTGGCTTGTAAATATTCATTGCCAACTTACTAAAACTAAACAGAAACTTAAATTGAACAAGAACTTACTTTCGTGTAAACGCTTAGTCATCCTAACTAAGAGCCAGAGCTAGAGAGAGAGAGTGGGAAGTACCTAACTGACACTTGGCATTGTAATTGTAGGCAGCGGCTACACTGCGTATACGTAATACGTATTTTGTAATACATCAAACACTTGAAGAGCAGGGCTCTCGACCGCCGCCACAACTGCCACTAACACGCCGGCATGCCAGCCAGCGAGCCACCCACTCACTGGAAGCCACCCACCCACACTCTCACTCTCGTTACTCATACGCATGCATGGCGAGCACACTCGGAATTCAAGAGGGGCGTGGCTACGGGGAGGTGGTGTGGCAAGTGCTCCGGCAGCCATGCGTGCACAGAAGCGATGCCATGACGCCGGGTTCAAGTCATGCAGAGAAACTAATGGGATCAGAGATCGAAGACATTTTCAGGTTTAAGGTTTAAATTTTTGGATAAAAATATAGGTTTTTCAACTAAATATATTTAATTTAATATATTTTTAATCAAATTTACAATAAAAGTCTTTTATTTAGTTTCTACTCTATCTTCTTAGTATCTAAATATTAAGTATACGCCATGTTATCCATCATAGTTTACTACTTTGCATAACCTAAGATAGTCCCTTGGATTCTCCCTGTGTAGAGGTCGGCTCAGTTCGACTCGACTCGCCCGGGATCATTCATTTACGCAAAACGCCCCCTGCCACCGCCTCGACCCCCGCCTGCATTCACACGCCCACTCGTTCAGCAAACAAACAGCCAAACAAACGGGCAGACACACTCTCATATCACAAGGGCCGGACTGCATATGAATAGTGAGTAAGCAGTGAGTGGGTTCGGAGATCCGGAAAGACATATATTTGTCGGGGGTTCGGTTACTCCAGCTTACACCAGGAGATGTCATTGCGTCCACAGTAGGCAGATTGAGGTCCTGGGACGTGAAAGTGCAACAACATTTGTGTCGATAGGAATGTGTGGTATTTCATTGGCTGTTTCAGATTCTGATTTAGAATTCAGAAACTAAACAACAACTTTTAATTAAATGCCACGTTGATGCCATAATTTCGCCATCAGAGTCCCATTAACTTTGCATTTGAATGGAGCGGACAGGGAAGTAATTGCAAATGGCCAAGTTAACAATGGCATTCAATCTGCTCTTTCTCGCTTCAATCACAAATAATTTTCAACAAGAAAGGATAGCTCAGGTGGAGCCGAAGTTGATATACCCTAGAATCAGATGGGTAGTAGACTGCAAATGTCGGATAAAGTTGGCCATCGGAGTTTCATTATAAATATTATTTCTTATAATACAAATTTTGGAAAAAGTTCCAACATTAGTAGGGCCATTTCCGATAGTTATATATAGTCCCCTATATGGCTCTCTGTGATGGCTATTTCTTCCCCAATTCTCATCGGATTATCAAGCGGAGTACCTTAAACGATTTATGGATCGATTCTCCACCATTCTGCATCAAAATCCTGTGACAAAATATTTTTTAGATTTTTTGTACATTTTTCGGATGGGATCCTTTGAAAATGGGATTTTCTTCCATAGGGTCCACAGTGATGGGTTTATCTTCCCAAATATAATACCCTCTCCGAGGGTATAAAAAGGCCCGAGCCGCCCAACTAATAGACCGCATATATGGTCCTGTAGAGTAATCGCCGAGCGAAATACAAACACAATTTCTCGGAGCTGCCGTTACAGTTACACGAACATTTCCTCAAACAACCGACATGGCGTCCATTTCCGTTATGGCAACAAAGCGAGCCACGCACACACACATGTCGGCTAGGGGGTTTGTGTGTGTCTGGGTCTGTGATTGTGTTTGTGTTAGTGTGTTAGCTTTTCTCTCTACTTCTATCGGCGTAATTGTTGCCGTCACATTTACAGTCGCCGTCGTCGCCAAAAGTCGCCGCCATCTACAGGACTCTCCTACATTTTACTATGCGCACTGAGAGAAATATTTGCAATTTGAAGGGTATTTTTTAGTCGTAGTATAGTCCTTGCTAGAGGTATTTTTGGCAGTGCCCTTAGAGAAACAAATATTCGGGAAAAACAAACTATCGCCGCCATTGTTGTCGAAACGTGAGTTTCCACGTGGTGTGTGTCCTGGTGTGTGTCCTTGTTAACTGTTGTTAATCTTTGCTCATTGTTTTGGTTTAATTTATAAATTCCTGTCCATTTGGCAGATGCCAACTTTTGCTTTTGTTTTCCATTTGCTGCTCCTGCAACTGCGAGCGTTGTGTATTTTGTTTGTTTCCCCTTTTCAGTGATTTCTGTTTGTCTTCTAGTATTTTTATTTCAATTCCTGT